TTGAGAGCTGAGTTAAAGAGATAGCCACCTGTCAGTGACCTCGTTATCGCTGTGTGGTCTAATCCCTTCTGGCCCAGTATTGACGGTCTTTAAATGAAATACATACGCATCTGTTATTACTTGCGAGTCTAAGCCCTCTGTTGTCCTTTGAGGGTCACTTCGTAGCTGAGCTGATGTCCTTTTGAGTTTGTCCTTTCTCGTTTTCGTGCTTGATGTCTATTTGCTTACCGTAAACCAAAACGCCCTCTGTTGTCCTTTGAGGGTCACTTCGTAGCTGAGCTGATGTCCTTTTGAGTTTGTCCTTTCTCGTTTTCGTGCTTGATGTCTATTTGCTTACCGTAAACCAAAACGCCCTCTGTTGTCCTTTGAGGGTCACTTCGTAGCTGAGCTGATGTCCTTTTGAGTTTGTCCTTTCTCGTTTTCGTGCTTGATGTCTATTTGCTTACCGTAAACCAAAACGCCCTCTGTTGTCCTTTGAGGGTCACTTCGTAGCTGAGCTGATGTCCTTTTGAGTTTGTCCTTTCTCGTTTTCGTGCTTGATGTCTATTTGCTTACCGTAAACCAAAACGCCCTCTGTTTCTTCTGACCTGTACTTTGTCTATTTTGCTCTGACCTTTGATTTATTCTTTGTTAATTGGTCCTTTCTTCTGGGTACTTTGTCTATTTTGCTCTGTCCTTTGTTTGTTTGTATGCTTCTTTGTTTGTTTGTATGCATCTTTGTTTGTTTTTGTGACTGTTGATATTGGCCCCTTTGGCCGCCCATAGTTTAACGCTACGCGTACCGCGCGCCTTGACCGGACTGTGCGGTATCTGTGCAGTTCTGTACTGTGTGCATGTGTAGAGAGGTCGGGCCGTAATCATTATTTCTTGGGGGTGCATAAATTGCTCTAATTATACGTACGCGTGTAATGCGCAAGTTTATTGTGACGGCACTAAACCCATCCCACTCATTGTTCCCCTATTTTCATAATGGTACTGACCCAATGAAATGTGCAGTGCGCTGCGTGTGTACATGTACTGTACTTATGTATGCATGTTCAGTTATGTATGCATGGCATTACGTACATGACATGCATACACGGCTAGCTGGCACAAAACCCTGGGTCGGGCTTCTAAAAAAATGGTGAAGCATGATTTGACATGAAAATTGACGGGGCTAAATATGAATCAATCAAAATGAGCTTTATATGTATGAAAAGCTTATGTATCATACGTCATTGTCTGGGATTGAGGATTTACAAATTTGACGCAAAACGCGTTGCTGCAAAGTTAAAGATTGGTATATTGAAAGGCAATCGAGCACAGTGCGACCGATCAATTGACATTGTGTATGAGAAAGTAATTTTTTTTAAATGGATTGTAAAGTTCAACGTCAAAATGACGGAGGTTTTTTTTCAAGTAAGGGCATGGTTTTACATGGAATGTAAAGGAAATGTTTCCTTCTTCTCATATCTCGATTGAGGATATTATACTCAATTTCGATTTTTAATGGTAAAGAAAAGTGTAAAAAGATGTCGAGAATTTTACCATATGTCATGTAATATAAAATGCGCGCGGGTCGGTTGATCTCCCAAAAGGAGCGCGAAGGAATTGATATGAAGCACGGAGGTCATGCGGATAAGACATCGCTTCACAATGCAAATGTACTCGGTTCGATTCCCGGCTATGCCTTTCTACCTCGTTTTTTTTTCAATCATATCCCAAACTTTAAATCAATTTGACAAATTTTGAGAAGAGTGTTCCAGAGCTGGACATAAATATGGGGTTCTTGTGCACAATCTCCGCTATCTCCTGGTGTAAATAACTATGAAACAGAAATGCCGCTACCATTAGAATAGAATAGAATAGAATAGAATAGAATAGAATAGAATTTATTGACTCATTCGACCCCCTTCTGGGGTATGAGAGTACAACACATGTACATGTCATGATAATGATACATAATAAAGAATACAAACATAGCTTAATAATACAAAGAATACAGAATACCATTAAGGCGCTAACCCGCGACCATTAACCACCAAGGCGGTGATCATTTCTTAAAAATTCTGAAATTATTCCAAAATTTGAATCAATCTGACAAATTTTAAGGAGAGTGTTTCAGAACTCGACACATATGGGGTTCTTGTGCACAATCTCCGCTATCTCCTGGTGTAAATAACTAAGAAACAAAAATGTCGGCGTAAGGTAGGGGGTGTGATATGATATCATTTTATATCTACATGTATGTCAACAAATGACCTATATCATATGCCCATGATTATTGCTACCGCAGATTGTAATGCGGCTTCACATACATCTATTAAATACAACAAGTTGTTCATATTTGAGTTCTACAAAATCCAGCCTCAAGAAGACTCTTATTATAAATCATAATTAGTGTACAACACTTTACATGGTGGCAGCGGTGCCAGGACTTTGCTAGACCATTTTGAGTGCAGGTGGAGCCCGGATTTGGATTTTATGGACAATTTAAGCACCGTTTACCGGCCAGGCCTAGGTTGGGTTTTCGTTTACGCGTTGAATCACCAACCTGACCAGGATCATTTAATGTGAGTAAATCCATGGATAGTATTGAAGGACCGGCTTATATTTAATAGAGACATGGAAGAGTTGGACTGGCAAAGGAATAAATTGCTTTGGAATTGTATTATTGATGACGTTAAATACAGCTTTGGACATCGCCAGAACCCAGGAGGCAACTGAGGCGGATATGAGACTCCTTCATGGTCAAGCCGTCAACGTTGATATGACGAAGCAACATATCCAAAGGAAGAAACAGTGCTCATTCTGTGGACTGAACCATCCACCGAGGAAGTGCCCAGCTTATGGCACCAAATGCAGAAACTGTGATAAAATGAATCACTGGGAGAAATGCTGCCGACTGAAGAAACAGGAACAAGAATCTAAACAGCAGTGGCAAAGGAAACAAGAAGCTACAAAGACATATCCGAAAAGGTCGCAAGCACAGAGATCAAAGAGACTCCATGAGATGAAAGAAGAGGAAGAAACAGAAGAAACTGACGACATGCGGTTTGAGACCATCTGTGTAGACCAGATCAGAAAGAACGAAGCCTTCGCTGTGATCGGAGTTGAGATCGGAAGAGGACCAGCGACTCTAAAAGCCAAAGTTGACACAGGATCTGAAGGGAACATTCTTCCATTACGCATTTATCAGAAGATGTACCCTGATCGCGTGGACTCTAATGGGGAACCTATCACAGGAAAGCTAAGAAAGTCACCGATAACGATAACAGGCTATGGTGAAAAGAGTGTTATTCCACAAGTAGGCCTACATACGCTGAGCTGTAACCACCAGGACAGACAAGCAAATGCAGAATTCTTTGTGGTGAAGACTCAAAGACCTGCCATCCTTGGACTTGAGTTGTGCCTGGATCTAGGATTAGTAGTCTTGAATTGCAGTCTGATGGAGAGCCATGATAGTCCCATCAAAGATAGAGAGCATTTGAAGACTTTGTATCCCGATAGATTTGATGGAATCGGAAAATTTGATGGGAAATACCACATCGTGATCGACAAAGATGCGGCTCCTGTGATACATGCAGTTCGACGATGCCCGATAGGCATAAAGGATGACATCAAGAAAGAACTTGATGAGATGGAGAGTCTTGAAGTGATAGAAAGTGTCACTAAGCCAACAGACTGGGTATCAAGCTTGGCATACACCCAGAAGCCCAATGGAAGATGGAGAATTTGCCTTGACCCAAAAGACTTAAATAAGGCAATCAAGAGAAGCCATATGCCGATGCCAACCATTGAAGAAGTCCGACACCAGTTTGAAGGAGCAACAGTGTTCAGTACCCTGGATGCCAGACATGGATATTGGGCTATACAGCTAGATGAAGAATCAAGCCATTTGACGACCTTCAATAGTCCCTTTGGTCGTTACCGTTTCAAAAGACTACCTTTTGGCTTGTGTGTTTCTCAGGACGTGTTCCAGCAACGAATGAATCAAATACTAGAGAAATGTCCTGGAGTCATAGGAATGGCCGATGACATAGCAGTCGTAGGAAAGACGGCAGTGGAACATGACGCCAACTTACACAATCTGATGCGCGTCGCAAAGGAGCATGGACTCGTCCTGAACTGGAACAAATGCCACATCAAACAAGACCGAGTGAGATTCTATGGCCTTGTCTTCAGCAAAGATGGAGTGCAACCAGACCCACATAAGACAGCAGCCATATCAGCCCTGAACGCACCACAGAACGTGACAGAACTCCGAGAGTTCCTAGGCATTGTGACCTACATGTCACCATTCATTCCAAGACTTGCCTCACTGACTGCACCACTTCGGGAACTTGTGAAGAAAGATGTGATATATAGCTGGACTGAATCACATCAGAAGGTGTTTGAGACCATCAAAGATATGATCTGCAAGGAGACCACACTTGCTTACTTTGATCCAAAGAAACCTGTTGTCCTAGAAGTAGATGCATCGATGAAAGGCGTTGGAGCAGCCCTCACACAGGAAGGGAGACCAATAGCGTTTGCCTCAAAGTCCCTCACAGACACCGAGCAGCGATACGCTAACATTGAGAGAGAGATGCTAGCAGTTGTCTACGCATGTGAAAAGTTTCACACGTTCGTCTTCGGCAGAAGTTTCACTATCCTCTCAGATCACAAACCACTAGAGATGATCACTCTCAAGAACCTTGGAGCTGCACCCCCAAGACTACAAAGACTACTGCTCAGACTCCAAGGGTATGACATGACAGTGAAATATAAACCTGGAAAGGAGATGCTTCTGTCTGATGCCATGTCAAGACTCAATCCTCTGCCTCCTGAGTCTCCTGAAATGCACATGAAAGTTGACTTTGTAATGTTCTCAGACAAGAAGCTACTGGAGATCCGCACCGCAACATCAGAGGACTGTGAACTTTGCATCCTGAGAGATGTAATCCTAGAGGGATGGCCAGAAGAAATTAAGGCGTAAACTTGACAAAAGCCTGATCAAATACTGGCCATACAGGGACGAGATGTCCATTGAAGACGGGATTATCCTGAAAGGTTCAAGAATTGTCATCCCCAAATGCCTGACAAAGGAATACCTGAACAAGCTACATGAGGGACATCAAGGCATCATCAAATGCCAACTGAGAGCAAAGAGCTGTATCTTCTGGAATGGCATAAATCAGGAGATCGAGATGATGGTACGGAAATGTTCTGTATGTCAAGAATATGGGAACTCCCTGCCATCAGAGACTCTGCAGCCACATGAAATTCCTGTCAGACCTTGGCAATTTGTCACAACTGACCTCTTCACACTTGATGGAAGAGAGTACCTTCTTGTTGCTGACGTATACTCAAAGTATCCAATTGTAAAGCAGTTACCACAGCAAGCAACAAGTAGTGCTGTCATCAGACTGCTTAAGGAAATCTTCTCTGAACAAGGAACCCCCGAGAGACTATTGAGCGACAATGGACCTCAATACAATAGTGCCATATTCGTAGAGTTTGCCAGAGACTGGAATTTCCAACATGTAACCTCAAGCCCGAGATATCCACAATCCAATGGATTTATAGAGAGGCAAGTACAAACTGTCAAAAACACCATGAAGAAAGCTAAGAGAGATAACATAGGCGTCAACAAGGCATTGCAATGCCTGAGAGCCACTCCATTGGACAGCCATCTACCATCTCCAGCAGAGCTGTTACTGGGGAGGAAGATCCAAACCAACATACCGACCAGAATTCGGAACCAGTCACCCCAAAAGGATGACATCTACCAGAGACTGCAGACCAGGCAGGATGACCAGAAGAAATACTTCGACGACAAGCACGCTACCAACCTTCCCCCACTACACAAAGGACAAGAAGTCAGAATCCAAAATCAAGAGACTGGTAGATGGGACAGAGGAAAGATCACAAACAGGAGACCAGAACCAAGGTCATATGAAGTAGAGACATCATCAGGTTACACTCTACGACGAAATCGTAGGCACATCAAACCAACCCAAGAGAGGGACAGCATGGAACAAAACCGTCAACATGCTAGTGATAGACATAATGATGTACATGACCAGCAGAATGCACAAACAGAACAAACACAAAGCAAACCAGACACACCATCGAATCACCACCAACCATACACCACCAGATCAGGTCGTACTATTAAGAAACCAGAGAGATACGATATGTAAAATATTGATATGGTTGGAGATAATTCTTTGTTGTCTTTTGCTTTCTTTAACAATGTTTACAAGGTTTTGAGTAGTTAGATTTAAAGAGACATATTGAATATGTCATGTTTTGTTTATTAATTAAGTTTATTGCATTATAAAGCAAGATGATAACTGAAGTCTGATCAAAACATTTTAGATAAATAAGCAAACAATTCGCATTCAAATGAAAAAAACAAATGTGATAGAATTTTCAAATTGTTTTTGGTGAAAAAAACAAACAACAAACAAACAAAGAAAGGGACGAAATTGTAAGTTCATATTAGCACAAGTTTACTTTCTTAAGCAAAGAATTTTAAAAAGATATTTTAAACAGTATGGATCTAAATATGAAATTAAATTTTCATTGAGAAGAGGGATTGTGATATGATATCATTTTATATCTACATGTATGTCAACAAATGACCTATATCATATGCCCATGATTATTGCTACCGCAGATTGTAATGCGGCTTCACATACATCTATTAAATACAACAAGTTGTTCATATTTGAGTTCTACAAAATCCAGCCTCAAGAAGACTCTTATTATAAATCATAATTAGTGTACAACACTTTACAGGGGGGGGGGGGGGGGGGGGGGGGGGGTGAAGTTCTCCTTTTACCCTGCGACCACTAACCACCAAGGCGGTGATCATTTCCTAAAAATTCTGAAATTATCGCAAACTTTAAATCAATCTGACAAATTTTGAGAAGAGTGTTCCAGAGCTGGACATATATGGGGTGCTCATGCACTATCTCCCCTATCACCACCAGGTAAATAATTAAGAAAAAGGATTGTCAACGAAAAGTAGGGAGGAGGGTAACTTTCTTCTAGTTGCGAGACGAAAGCCACAGCAGTATTTGTACAGTACCGTATCTTAAACCCGCAGAAAAGTATACTGATGGGACTATTGTGCGTAAACCGTACGCACTATTCTTTATCTAGGTTTATCTATCTTTGGTTTTAACCACGTACGTACGTATATGGAGCACGAACGTACACTGACCTTTGGTCGCGTACTATCGGTCGCCAAATTCAGCTCAGCTCAGCGACTACTTCAAGTCAGAACCGTAGTGGGTCTTGGAAGTTGGAAAGAGACAACTCTCAGTTAGTGCTCTCAACTCTTACTGTATTCCAGCCAGATAGATCTTTTAAGTTGATCTCATCTCTAGCTCATTTACTATTGAATTCTCAGCGATGGACTCGGAGGAAGCACGGGTATGCAAAAGCAAGGTCTTTTCTAACAATTGACCATGTTCTTCTTCTTCTTCCTTGAGTACAGACCTCTTTACAGAGTATTATCGTACTAGATCTATAGGCCTACTGGGGTTGTGTGCAGGTGGACCACTATACGAATAGTGCAGTGGGCATTCTGAACCCTGTGTTATCTATAATATTGTTGTATCTTTGAAGATAAGATAAAGTTGGTATTCTGAACATTGTTGTAACTTTCGTGTTATCTTTTGTTGTATCTTTTCTCTCATCTTATTGGCCGCGCCTACGCTCATCTTTGGTGCACTTGTAATTGGGCGCTAGTGTAGCAAGGTATCCAAAATATAGCCTACTAAAACAGACCCCAAATGTTGTGGTCATCATTACCTTAACCCTAACCCTAACCCTAACCCTAACCCTAACCCTAGAACCCTAACCCTAACCCTAACCCTAACCCTAACCCTAACCCTAACCCTAGAGATAATGATAAACACGAAATTTGGGGTCTAAAATTTGAGGTCTGTTTTAGTAGGCTATATTTTGGATACCTTGCTACACTAGCGCCTGTAATTGTGCGTAGACCTATTATTAATAAAATGGCATTTAATCCTCATTTGCATATGCGCACAGGAGATGATGTGTCGAGATAATTAGTATTCTGAAAGTTGTTGTATCTTTTATCTTATCTTATCTTGCATGGTATTTACAACAATATTTACAACAGGTACGGGGTTGTTGTATCTTTCGTGGTGATATAATGGCGGCAATATTTTTTGCCCAGAACCAATTTCGTGCCAATGGACGAGTTAGAAGAAGATTGTGTGTTGACCGGAAACATCACAGATGAGAACTTTCTAAGATATTACATGCTAGGATATGACGATTTTAATGCTCTCATCTTAACCAATACAGTGAAAGCGTGATTTGTCTTCATGATCCACATTCAACAGCGCATAATGATGACGCGCGTATTAAGTGCTCAAATAACTAATTACGCCCAAGATTAGTATGCGCTCGGCGCATCTTCAGATATGGCATAAAGTATTCCTATTGGTTGACCTACTTATCATACTTATATAAAATAGGTTTTGATTGGAAGGGTCCATAAAAATGGGCGTGTCATCAATGGTCAAAGATAAAATAGAGGCGGTCCTTCAATGTTCAGAATACCAACTTACAACAATCTCTGGAAGATACAAGAAAAGATAACACAAAACTTACAACAATGTTCAGAATACCGCCCCTGGTTCTTAACTAGACCAAATTTCCTGTCTCTTTCGTTAATTAAGCCACGGGGCATAAAAATATGGCCGTAATTAAATGGCCATGGTGTTTGAAAGAGAATGCCGATGGTCGGTTTCCGTCTCTAAAGAGAGGAGCCTACCCTACCCAAATAAGAGGCTTAACGAACGAAAGAGACAGAAAATTCGGTCTACTAATAATTCTTAACGTGCAAAGGTGGCTCTTCTCTACACGGGGCCTCCATTTAAAGGTACTAGATCTATGTCCCTTTTGCAGCCAACCTCAAATTCTGTAGAACTTTGCAGGAATTATGAATATGTCATGTAATATGTCCTACTTCATTAGGGCGATCCAACTTCACAGGTTCTCGCAACCTTCATGGAAAGCCCCACATATAACCTTTGTAAACATAGTTAAAATTTACTGTTACTTTGTATATTTTTATTTTTATATTGCGAAATAAAATTGAATTGAATTGAATTGAAACACTAGCGGTGTCCTAATATTCAAATTATGCAAGGAAATCCGTTTACTTGCTAGACTTCACTGGTCAGACACTATTGAGTGACTGACTGGCATTTTTCTTCTTTGGTAATAACATGAGCTGTAAAGGGTACATGAGCATTTGTCTACATCAATAACCCACTTCTTGTGATGGCCAAAATTAAACTGATTGAATCTTTGCGCAGCATAAAACGTACGACCATTCAGTACAATGGTCTGAAAATCAAGACTATTACTTATTGGCTCTATAGCTCCTAAGTCGATTTGATACCTAATACCGGTAGTCGTTATTTTCCCACTTGAAGACATTTTCAAGCCCCAACTTTGTTAGGAAAGTTCTAAATTAGTATTATCTTTCAAATGCCGTTGGAATTTAACCGTTTCATTATTTTTGCCTGCAAATGGGACATAGTACCTTTAACGTCCTGTCCAAGGGACAGAGTGTTTTCCACTTGACATAACCTGCATCTATGAACAAGGGAAGAGGCATGTTAACACACAACGCAGGCTTCAGTCATCCGCCTGGGTGGGAGTCGAACCCGGGATCTTTGGTTCGACAGACGGACGCTTTACTGACTGAGCCAACTCGCTTTAATATACTATGTTGACTGGGAAACGACTCCCTTTTGAGTTGGTTTTGTGACTGAATGCTACTTTAGTACATGAGACTTGAGAGAATTTTAATGGACTTGTGACTTGTCAATTTGTCATTCATTTCCATTATCAAACAGTAGACTATTTTAAAAGACAAAAACTAAACACTGAACAGTCCAACATTAACATCATGATCTGATGTCTATCTACTGTAAATTACAGTAATACTGTTTAAAATGAATAGCTAGAATAATGACAAAAGCGCAAATAGCAATGAAAACTGTGTCTGCATATAAACTAAAACTAAAAGAATAATGAAATTATGCAGATTACCAACTACACTATATCATTACAGACAGTATTCATGATGTTGATCTTCTTCTTCCTACGCTATATATGAGTAGGTCTACAGGCCACCATCGGTGTGTATTCTCGTATTGATGTAGGTGTTGTGCTGGTGTATACAACTCCAGGGAGCTCCGATGCCGAAGGCCTTGAAGCAGCACTTTTTTTGGAAGAGGCGAGTTTGCTCAGTCGGTAAAGCGTCCGTCTGTCGACCAAAGATCCCGGGTTCGACTCCCACCCAGGCGGATGACTGAAGTCTGCGTTGTGTGTTAACGTGCCCCTTCTCTTCTTCATAGACGCAGGTTATGTCAAGTGAAAAACACTCCGTCCCTCGGATAGGACGTTAAATGGAGGCCCCGTGTAGAGAAGAGTCACTACCTTTGCACGTGAAGAACCCACTGCACTATTCGTATAAAAGTAGGGGGAAACCCCGGTGTTGTGGTCCACCTGCACACACCCCTAGTATAGTACGATAATACTCTGTATAGAGGTCTGTACCGGTACTCAAAAGGAAGAAGAAGAAGAAGAAAAAGAAGAAGTTGTGTCACGAGACAGGCACTCTGGCAGGTCATTAATGAACAGCAGAAATGATATTGGGCCGATGACACCACCATGCGAAACTCCAGATACAGAGCTACCAAGTGTCACGCATTAGGCGTGACATCACACATTTTGAGGGTCTGAAAACGCTCTCACGCACGACGTGCGTGTTAGATTTTAAAAAAACACTATACCTTATTCGTGTGTTATACCCTCGCACGCGCCGAATAATGAAAATGTCACACATTGCGGATCTTTGAACTTGGCGTCTCTGCAGGTATCACTTGGGACTTGGTAGAGACAGTTCATTCAAGGATTACCTGCTGTGTACAATCACAAAAAAGTCAGCTATCCATGCATGGGTAGAGTTTTGTATGTCGTATCAGTCAAGCATATGAAGAAGCCTTGTAATCTTGCAGAATGACATCGAGTTGATTCCTATTGTCTATGCCCTTGGCAAGATCTTGGCAAGAGTAAGGTCCAGGACACAAGATCGCTTTTAAGAAATCCAAGTTGGGCATCAGAGTAGGCCTGTAACAGATGATCGAATTGGGGGCCGATCTTGAGCCGATCAGGGATGATCGGATAATAATTTTCGATGGCCGATCAATAAAAATGATCCAAAAAAAAATCAGCAAAATTTTTTTTTTTTTTTTTTTTTTTTCTTATAATGTCAAATTTTTTCAAGTTTTTGGCTATCAAATGCTTTAAAAAAAATTCATAGCTGGGATTATTTTGTCATGTGGAGTTGTTGTAGACCATGTTTGTTGATATTTAATGCCTTTTCATGGCTTTGAAATTAATAATATTGGTCTAAGAGAAGAGGCAAAACATGCGGGCCGCCATCTTGGATTATAATGCATGCCTACATTATGATCCAAGATGGCGGCCTGCATGTTTTGCCTCTTCTCTTAGACCAATATTATTAATTTCAAAGCCATGAAAAGGCATTAAATATCAACAAACATGGTCTACAACAACTCCACATGACAAAATAATCCCAGCTATGAATTTTTTTTAAAGCATTTGATAGCCAAAAACTTGAAAATTTTCGTCATTAACAAAAAAAAAATCATCCAATTTTTTGGTCGATCTTCCGATCCGATACTGATCAAAGGTGCGAGGGTGTCGCTCTGATCTTCCGATCCGATCAGAGCCCCAACTTACAGGGTTACATCAGAGAGTATGTCATGATCTTTGAGATGGTCCATGACTCCATGACATGAAAAATGTGCTCCAGGATATTACATGCTCTTGATTTTAGTGAGATTGGTCTATAGTTGTCTAGTTTGCACGATTCACACTACTTCAAGACATAAGCAACATTTGCACTCTTCTAGTCATCTAGGACCTCTCCTTGATCAAGCACAGGTGGAGGAGCTAAGCAGCTCCTCAATAGCCTTGAAGGAAGTAATTGCCTCGCTCGAAATAAAGTTGAACCTTTTAGTTTTAGGTGTATCAGGCTTTAAATTTTAATATTTTTAGGGCAAGGCCACTTTTCTGTAGGGCACATTCCTATATTACAGTACTAATAGGAAGAATTGGAAAGGGCAAGCAAAATCTCCCAGGCCAATGAGAGGGGCATTGAGGCCAATCAACGGGGCATCCACGGCCATGGCCTTGGTGGCCTTGGATTAATTTAAGCCCTGGTGTATTATGTGTATCGATGTTTCTATTACTTTCAATGCTCTCTTTTATCTGCAGGAGATCCTGTTTAACGTTCGCACTTTTGTGAAAGGCGTCGACATCCGTAATGGACGGAAGCTCTCTAGTGAAGAACATGCACGTTGCGCCCTCCATCTTCTCCAGACCCTACCAGCTGCCCGCACAGCCGTCCTGGATTTTCTTTGCCATGTCTTTGATGAGAGTGTCAACTTGTACCTGTATGAGCTGGAAGGAGAAGGGGCATGTATGTTTCTTCTTTTCTTTCTTCTTCTCTTTCTTATTCTCCTTCTTCTTTTTCTTCTTCTTTTTCTCCTTCTTCTTTTTCTTCTTCTTCTTTTTCTTCTTCTTTTTCTCCTTCCTTTTCTTCTTCTTCTCCTTCTTCTCCTCCTTCTCCTTCTTCTCCTCCTCCTCCTCCTCCTCCTCCTCCTTTTTCTCTTCTTCCTCTTCCTCTTTCGCTTCCTCTTTCTCTTCCTCTTCATTTTCCTCGTCTTAACATTGTGATGAAATTGTGACAAGAAATATTGATTATAGAGAAACTAAATTATTGGATAAAGTAATATCTTTTTGAGTGTTAAGAAGAACTCATTGTAACTCATTTGATTGAAATCTTTGTACCTACATATTTATATGCCTCCTGTCATTGCAAACTTGTTGAAATAAACTCATTTGCAAAATATGCAACTGAGTTTGAGAAAAGTACAAGACCCTCAGACAGTTCATTTTAGGCATGCAAGGAGCAAACACGTGCCCTTTAGGAATTGTGTATTGTTGAGCCTGGGAGGGGTTGATGATAGGTTCCTACAATATTAGGTATGAGAACCATGGAAATCTAACTGATGTAGTTAATAAAAAAATAAAATTGAATCCCCCCCCCCTTTTTTTCCCTCACTATCTTTCCATATCTGTTTATCTCAATTGACCTTTATAGCAAGCATGGGACTTCACCTAGATGAACTGATAGAAGATATCTACAAGGTGCTCAAGAAATTGATAGAAGATAGTCCTACAGCCTGGTCTCCCATCCTCTCTGCTGTAAGATTTAGTTTTTATTTCAATTTCAAATTTATTGCATATGGCAACAATAAATAAATAAAACAATTGTTGCATTTAAAAATGATGTAAATTCTCACTCATATTGCAGGAAAACAAACAACATTTTGACTGTATGATACAGATTCTAAAAATGAAGTATTTCAAAGTAGGTAGCAGCCAAAAATGGGGAAACGTTTCTATGGGAGATGAATCCAATAGTATTGTTAATTACACAATACAGGGCTTAAATTAATCCAAGGCGACCAAGGCCATGGCCCTTTGACTGGCCTCAATGCCCCTCTCATTGAACTTGGAGATTTTTTGTGCCCTTTCCAATTCTTCCTGTTTGTGCTGTAATATAGGAATGTGCTCTACAGAAAAGTGGCCTTGCCCTAAAAATATTGAAATTTAAGGCCTGACAATGTGATAGATGTTTTAATAAAAGATAGAGGCCATGTTAGATAAAGGCTAGGTTTTATTGGATTAATAATTTGGCTTACTAAAACTACAAAACTCTTCTTTGTTTTCTTTGTTCTGAATATGACTGAAGCCATTTTACTGAGCAACGCATCATGCTCAGAAAATATTGAACTAATCCAACTATTAGATTGAACACCAGCCTGGGTATCTTAACAAATCCAGCCCAAGAATATTAACATTTTACTGTAGATATGGTGCAAAATAGCTATTTGTTTTCTCCTGAATTATAAAAAGCAGATAAAATGGCCAGATTTAACCATCAAACAATGATTTGAAACTCAGACTTCCACTCTTGCAAGGTCAATAAGGATAACTGCTTGCACTTCTTTTGGTACAGAAGGATCTAGAATTATTTCCTTATCTTTTCCTCCCCTCCTATTCTATTTACAGTGGTCCATTGCTCTGCTAGGACAGATCAGTAGTAATTATGCCAGTCGCAGAGGTGTACCACATCCATCTAACCTCAATGAGCTTCTACAGCTCTGGATGACATGCAAAGGTAAAGATATCAAGCTCTCGCCAAAACTCTTTCCATCCATTTTTCATGTTACTTGAATGTCAACTTGTATAATATTTCATCTGTTTAGATTGAAGTTAACTCTGTTGACTCTGTTCTGAATTCCCTAATTTCCATAGGCCTAATACAGGGAGCACCCTTTTTCCTGTAGGCAACGAGTTAATGCATGTGATAGAACTCGGACTTATTGACAAAATGCAATTAAGCTAAGAGTTCAATTGTTTATGAAAATAAAGGTTGATATGTTTGGGGGAAAAAAACAAAGTGTCAAGTAAATTAATGATATGTCATATCAGAATTTAACATCATGATAATGTCAGTGATGAAAAATAGCTTTTAGAACCTTGGACCTCTTGGGTAAAAGACCACTGCTCTACCACTGAGCCATTATACGTCTCTGAGTAAGGGGTGTACATGTTGAATGCATCATCATCATGTTGGGGTAATAATATGATTGCAGGGCCCTCGGAGAGACAGTATTAATAGTGATGAGGCTATCCTTCGTAAACAAGACATATTATTTTTATCATTTATCAAAGTCAGCATTTTTCCTCTTTCGTGGGGTCACTGTCTTCTGTGTAATGATGACACTCCCTCTGTCCAAGCATCCTCCTCATTTATGCAAGGGTCACTCTGTGGCCTGGACCCACCCTCCTCAGAGGTCGCCAAATATCGACGTCGACTCGACGCCTAAGCCTGACCCTGACCTATTTGTTGTTGTAGTGAAGTCCTAACGTTCGTTTTTCTTCATTGGGTGAAGCTTTACTATACAAATTGATGAAATGTGTGAAGCTTTGACGAGTAATTTGTTTTTTCTGGTGATGTGACATCGAATCCAATCGGTCGCCTTGTTTGTTCAGGTGATGTGACATCGAAGCCACTACCGGTCGCGTCGAAAATATGTCGAAATCATGTCGAAATCGTGCGTTTCAAAACAACTATTTAATTTTTATTCCGGTCACTCATGCACTCGCAGAGTGATCGTCCTGAGGTCACCGAACTTTTCTCCAGCGAAACTGATTTCGAGATTTCACGAGATCGTTTTCGAGTACTCTACTAGTCTCCTACACATAACTAGTTGCGTGAGTATTCGCAGTATACGTGCCTGAAAGGCCAGCCTCAAGTCTGGAACGAGACTAGTAGCCTACGAGCTGTCGGTATTGTACCCAGCATGCGCAGCGCAGATCGTGCCAAGTTTTGGCCCCAAGTTTTTGCGAGGTGAGTTGAAAAAAAATAGAAAGTTCAGAGTTTTCCGATCATTTTGAGACGGTACTACTCCGAGTCTGACCCTGTTTTACGATTGATTATTAACGAAATCTGTGCATAAAACTTAGCCTATATTTTCGCGAGATTTCAATGTTGACGTATGTAATGGCCAATATGGTGAAACAGTGGTGAAGCTTGGAACTATGCAAATGGCCAGTATGGTGAAACAGTGGTGAAGCTTCAGACCGGCCGAAAACTTACAAAAGTGAAGCCTCACCTATGGAAAACTGACACAAGTAAAGCCTCACCTATGTAAAACTGACAAAAGTGAAGCATCACCTATGCAAATAATTCAAAGGGTGAAGCCTGGACTAACACATTTGCTGATAAGAGTGATGCTTTGCCTTTGTTTTTTGTAAAGCACATGAAGTGATGGTGAAACCCTGAGGTTACAAATAATTGGCTCAGGTGAAGAAAGGTGATGACCTGAGGAGGGTGGGTCCAGGCCACAGAGTGACCCTTGCATTAGACCAACCTTTCTGCTTTCTTTCTTCCCCATGTCTTTCCATGAACTCTTTGGTCTTCCTTTCTTTCGTATTGCAGGCCATAAATTTTGTTGTCATTATCAAAAGATTTCATGTTTTGTGAAAACATCTTAAATTTTGTTTAAATAAATAAACATTCTCTTTGTCGTTATTCTTTCAGCCACAAGAACCATCATGGATCTAGCAACACACTGTATAGCAGCAATGAGCTCTTCCTGCCCAGATCCATGTGTAGATGCTCTCCTCAACACCTCTGTACAACACTCACCTCATTTTGATTGGGTTGTAGCACATATAGGGTAAGTTTACAAGCTACAAAAGGTACAAGTTTAGCATGTTGAAATCATCATATATCATGACCACAAAAGTCTGAAAGAAGATATCGACATCGTTTCAAGAAATAAGTTGTCTGTGAACTTGTACTATTGATGGTTTCGTGAAACGCTGCCCTGGTCTGACAAACGGGAGAACTATTGATGCCGGGGCTTATTTTTAAACTGCTAGAGCATATCAAATTTTGTTACAGTAAAATCATAGTGAATTCTACCAGAGAAATCACACCATCTGTTGAGTTCAAGAGGTGGCAAAATCTTTTCTCCTTCAGTTTTGTTTTATGATCAATAATAATAATAATAATAATAAATTACATTTATATAGAGCTTAATACAAAGTTTCTAAGCGCTTAACCAAAAATTAAATTAAAGTAATGTTAACCTACAAATTACAACAATATAATACTCATGTATTATAATAACAAATAATTATAATACATAATTATAATAACAAATTCCTAATAACAATCATACAATAATAATATAGTATTAATGACTGCTTTGAGAGAAATAGTTGTTTTTATACGCTCAAGGGAAGGTTACAATTGTGCTATTGCCCCGAGGCGTGCCGAGGGCAATAGCCCAATTGTAACCTTCCCGAGAGCGTATAAAAACAACTATTTCTCAAATAATAAAGCAGTCATTAATACTTTTATATGCCAAAAAAAAAAGTCAACCTATGACACCACCTTGGCCTTTCTCTAGTTTATCTGCACGGTTGTTATGCCTCCGCCACCGAAGGTGGTGCCGTGTATCATGTTTTCGGGTTGTCCGTCCGTACGTCCGTCCCGTTTGACCGTTATCACAATATCTCAAGAACCATTTAAGATTTAAACTTAAGACTCGGGAATAGTATTTATCACCATAGGAAGACGATCTGATTAGATTTTGGAGTACGTAGGTCAAAGGTCACAGGTCACAGAGGTCAACTTATGAAATTCCTTGTATTGAGTTTGTTAGCGCGATATCTCAAGAACCATTTGAGATTTAAACTTCAAACTTAAGGATAGTATGTATCACCATAGGAAGACGATCTGATTAGATTTTGGAGCACTTATGTCAAAGGTCAAGGGTCAAGGGTCACAGAGGTCAACTTATGAAATTCCATACATTGAGATTGTTATCATGATATCTCAAGAACCACTGGAGATTTAAACTTCAAACTTAGTGATAGTGTGTATCACTATAGGAAAACAATCTGATTACATTTTGGAGCACGTAGGTCAAAGGTCAAGGGTCATAGAGGTCAACTTATGAAATTCCATATATTGAGATTGTTATCATGATATCTCAAGAACCACTGGAGATGTAAAAACTTCAAACTTAAGGATAGTATGTATCACCATAGGAAGACGATCTGATTAGATTTTGGAGCACGTAGGTCAAAGGTCAAGGGTCACAGAGGTCAACTTATGAAATTCCATACATTGAGATTGTTATCATAATATCTCAAGAACCACTGGAGATTTAAACTTCAAACTTAATGATAGTGTGTATCATCATTGGAAGACAATCTGATGAGATTTTGGAGCACGTAGGTCAAAGGTCAAGGGTCACAGAGGTCAACTTATGAAATTCCATACATTGAGATCGTTATCGCGATATCTCAAGAACCACTGGAGAATTTTCACTTCAAACTTAATGATAGTATGTATCACCATATCATAATATCTCAAGAACCACTGGAGATTTAAACTTCAAACTTAATGATAGTGTGTATCACCATAGGAAGACAATCTGAGTAGATTTTGGAGCACGTAGGTCAAAGGTCAAGGGTCACAGAGGTCAACTTATGAAATTCCATACATTGAGATTGTTATCATGATATCTCAAGAACCACTGGAGATTTAAACTCCAAACTTGTTTAAATTGCTCTATGGCGGAGGCATCATTTTCGACTGCGCGCAGTCAAAATTCCATCTAGTTTTTTTATGAGTGTATCTTTGAGAGTATATAGACTAGATCTAGATTCTAGTCTAAGCAAGATATTTTTACAATTTTGGGGGTGGGCCGGCCCTGTGGAGAATATGGAGAAAAACCTGCGCTTTCATATGACACCTCACTTATTGAGTATCACCTTCAGGATCACAACAGATAAAGGTTTGAATCTCGAATTGAAAAAAAAAACTTGACTTTTTTTGCATGGTTGCGCAATGCACGTAGACTGCGTAGAGACTGCATTGCATGTAATCTCTATGGGAAGAATATAGCACACAACATCGGGTGCGCGATCAGACACCCTGACAACTAGATCTATTTTCGTCTACGTCTATGCTGGTTTATGGATAATTTCACGTACCTTTTTGTTGTTCTTCGCACACGTACGGTATCCTCGATCGCTCAAACCATTTTTTAACATGTAAACCTATGGGGTAACCATGGAGACTGAACTATTTTCCCGGTAACCATGGTTACTGGAATTTTAGAACTGTTTTAACCATGGTTACTGGGAATTTTACAGAAATAGTTAAAGTTTATGAATGCAATTTCGACCAATCAGATGGCTGGATTTCTTAAGTGAGGTATATAATAGTTAATATTTACATAACGCTTTATAGTTTAACAAACAAAATATGATTACATTACATTACATATTGAACAGATAAGTCTTAAGTTTACTCTTGAATGTTTCTAACGTTGGAGACTCGCATATTTCATGGGGAAGATTGTTCCAAAGTTGGGGGGCACAGACAGAAAAGGCACGATTTCCATAACAGGTGTGGGTGCGAGGGCCTGGGGCCAGATGAAGATGTGCTGTGGATGATGATCGGAGACGCATAGATGAAGTACGGGTTTTAGGAGTGATGAGTGCCTAGAGATGTGAGGGAGCAAGTTTGTGAAAGGCCTTGTATGTCAGCATGAGAATCTTGAATTTGATACGTTGTTGGAGGGGGAGCCAGTGTAGAGAACGAATGATCGGTGTGATGTGTTCATGTAATGTCTTATGTAATGCCTACCAAAGACTTCCAAATATCTATTGCAGCGCTTTTGTCCTTTGGCAACACATTAGTTGACATTTGCCACACTCCACCAAGGTGAGGTAAATGGGTATCTGGCAGGAATTAGTTCCTTGAAATGCTCAATGCCTGTAATGACAGCCATGCTAAAGCCTGCCAGGGTATTAATAATTGAGTGCCAGGAGTGGCAATGTGCCAGAGATGATAACAGACACCATTATTATTATTATTATTACTAATTTAGGCTCCTAGGAGTGCAGTTTAGCAAAAAAGTTGTTCTCCCAAACCTCACTGAACACTCATTGACCTTCGGTTGCTCATGCTCTGTGAAGCAATACGCATAAAACCTCTCAAAGTTTGCATCTTATAATATTATACAAATAATGAATGGTTATGAGTTCAATAGTGCGAATATTTTCATGAGTTGAAAGATTAACATTCTATTCAACGAGGCGTCAGCCAAGTTGAATAGAATTAATGTTAATCTTTCAACGAATGAAAATATTCGCACCATTGAACGAATGAAAAACATTCATTATTTGTTTTATACAACATCGAAGAAGATCTAATAGAACGTTAATCAACAAATTATGCTTTACTCCTTATATTAAAGATAAATTCAAGTTGGATTCAAGCCTTCTCGATTACATTCAGATTGCCTTTGTGTCAGATACACGCAGGGATACGCGCGCGCACGGCAGAGAGGTACGCAATCTGCATATAACCAAAAATGCACGGCGCATATAACCAAAAATGCACGACCGTGCAATATACCATCTATTGAATATCATGTGACCAACAATCCTCCAATCAAATGACAGGGATCCACGTAGGTGTTGTATAAAACAGTATAATCCTTGGTGTCTATTTGACTAACATTCTGTTCCCAGGTCCTGCTTCCCAACAACAATCATCACCCGTGTGCTCTCATGTGGACTCAAAGACTTTTGCTCTAGCCAATCATCTGAGGGACAGCTCATTGCCACGGAAACCAAGGTTCCAAAGGTTGCATCGGTGGTTGGTATCCTTGGTCACCTGACTTCTCAGCATTCTCAGGACATCCGTAAAGCCTTGCTCGATTTGTTCCAGGTATACCGTACAAAAGAAAACGTTCTCAATCGCTACAGAAATTTTGTCACAAGTTTTCAATTAACCAGTATTACACCTCACTTAAGAAATCCAGCCATCTGATTGGTCGAAATTGCATTCATAAACTTTAACTATTTCTGTAAAATTCCCAGTAACCATGGTTAAAACAGTTCTAAAATCCCAGTAACCATGGTTACCGGGAAAATAGTTCAGTCTCCATGGTTACCCCATAGGTTTACATGTTAAAAAATGGTTTGAGCGATCGAGGATACCGTACGTGTGCGAAGAATTGGTCGGTATTATCATACAAGACAAGACAATTCCAAATAAGACGAAAATGGCTAAAGAAACTGTCCCAAGATTTCAACTTATCAAATGCAAGACTCGCTGACAGCAAGAACATCAAAAAAGGTACGTGAAATTATCCATAAACATGTTCATTTAGTTGCTGAAAATGGAGTACCAGCATAGACGTAGACGAAAATAAATCTAGTTGTCAGGGTGTCTGATCACGCACCGGATGTTGTGTGCTATATTCTTCCCATAGAGATTACACGCAATGCAGTCTCTATGCAGTCTACGTGCATTGCGCATCCATGCAAAAAAAGTCAAGTTTTTTTTTTCAAATCGAGATTCGAACCTTTATCTGTTGTGATCCTGAAGGTGATACTCAATAAGTGAGGTGTCATATGAAAGCGCAGGTTTTTCTCTCTATTCCCCACAGGGCCGGCCCAACCCCAAAATTGTAAAAATATCTTGCTTAGACTAGAATCTAGATCTAGTCTACTCTCAAAGATACACTCATAAAAAACAACCGTGCAGATAAACTAGAGAAAGGCCAAGGTGGTGTCATTAGTTGACTCTTTTGTTTTCGGCATATAAAAGTATTAATGACTGCTTTAATATTTGAGAAATAGTTGTTTTTATACGCTCTCGGGAAGGTTACAATTGGGCTATTGCCCTCGGCACGCCTCGGGGCAATAGCACAATTGTAACCTTCCCTTGAGCATATAAAAACAATTATTTCTCTCAAAGCAGTCATTAATACTATACTATTACATGACATATAACTAATGGAACCCGTAGACATCTGGTAAGTGTTATAAAGCCTTGCCTGATTTATTCCATGTAGGCTGTAGAAAGAAGCAGGATTACTAAATTGCGATCTTAATTTTGCACACGTGTTTGAGTAGGGCAGTACCATGGAAGTCCATGCTCGGTTACGTAAATCAAACATGGAAATTGTGAAGAAAAAAATTGCAGTTTGAGGCTATATCCCCCCCCCCCCCTTACCTCATCACATTCTCTCACTGAAATGAAGGGGGAGAGTAAAAACGAGTATATCTCTCTTTCCAATTTCTTCATAGAAAAGCAATAACTGCATGATATGCCCCAAATAAAACTCTTACACGATGTTTGCCTGATATGGCAATGGTAATAACATGTGTCTGCAATGACTATTGAAAGCTATTAATATCATAAACATAAACAAGAATCATCCATGATGGACCAATTCACTGCATTTGGAGCTAGTGACAACCCTAAAGCTTGGTGGCTGCTTGCCTCACATAGAATCAACTCATGTCTGAAATCTGCATTTCCTTATCACTTTTCTTTCTTGCTCTTCTTAATTTATATTTCTTCTTCCTCCTTTCCGATTGATCTTTTCTCTATTTATTCCTTCTGCCTCCTTTTGTTTTTCTTTCTCCCTCTTCAGGAAAGCCTAGATGGTAAGAAGGACCACGATGTCTTCACTGTACCGTTTCTTCTTCAGCTTGCTACCATGTCACCCATGCTACTCAAGATCATCACCACAGATTTTGTTCAAGCCTGTAAGTCCCTCAAACTGCTTTTCCTCCATTTTGAAAATGGTCTGCAGGTTCAAACTCTGTTTTGACACCTAAACACAATTCCATAAATTTGTTAATTGACCATAACTTTTCCAGTCTCTGGCTGTGTCAGATGTAGCTAGAGTACATGACCTATGGAGTTCTGTAGGCAATGCAGTCTTTGTAGCCTTACATTTTAGACATTGTTATGCATCAGACAGACAAGGTCACTTTTTGGCATTCATGCATTTAGTTTTAATTGGTTTCAAGTGGAACCTTGTCTGTTTGATTGAATACATTTAGGGGCCCTTTTCAACTGGTCCCAGGGACCAAATACAGCAGAAGGGGCCCCATCAGACGTCCATATTTGGATATACTAGGTTACTCCCCAAATGTTCCAATATTCAGATATCAGTACCTCATTCATTTGATCAAAGTGCACCGGGCTGCCGGGCTATTCGATATCTTGTGAAAAAGGGCCATCGGTCAATGAGTGTATACACACACAGTGGTGTGCAATGTCAATATAGATGGAATAACTCCTTGGTGCATTGCATGCAACAAAGCTCTTCTCTGCAGAGTGCATGAGTGGTGGACTATATCATCAGCATGTCCAAAATTGTCCTCACTGGTTCCACCTCTCTTGACTGTGTATTATCCCATCCAGTGACCCCAGAGGTCCTTAACAGAATCTCTGAGCAGTTCCGTGACTCGACCGTCCTGAAGAGAGACAGGGACAGTCTTCTCACTCTTGTCATTCATCTCATCTGTCGATCCGGTAACGGAGCATTTAACCTCCTCCTCTTCCTCCTGGACACAGGCTGTGATGACCAGAGGTCAACCAAGGTCAAGGAGGGGTCAAAGGTCAATAAAATGGTCCAATACACATGTGCTCTGGTATTGGTGAGTGATAATAAATGTGCTCTTCATTTTTGTTCATTGCTTGTTTAGGATACTTGCTATGAGTTTAGTTCAGATTTTTACATATGGTGTGGACATGATCTTTGTCAATGTACCTCTATATAGTCTGTCAATTTGCCTGTGTAATATTTATAGTTTTGTGGGCCCATATTCATAAATCCTTACTATGCTTAGTTGGCAAATAAAAAGCACTCTAGTTGTTAACTAGAGATTGTGTAAGAAACTCATTTGCTATCATTTGTATAATATATTTTAATTTTATCGCTGAATAGGAAAATGGTATATTGATGACAATTGTATGCATGATTGGTCTATGTACTTATGTAGATTTTGATTTTTTTTTTTTCCATCAGAAACTTATTTAGATTTATTTCCTGCATATTAAAGATAAATATTTTATCCTGTCTCACATTCTTTTGCTAGGATCTCCTATTACTGGATCTTCAGCGGTCAGCCTACAGCCAGTCTGGTAACCTATCCCTTCTTGCTAGTCCTCAGATCAGTCAGGAGAGTGGTAACATACCCTTTCTCAATGAGCTTCAGAAGCACACCTCTCTGTTGTGTGATGACATAATAAGCTCACAAGGAAGAAGGTGAGAGCTAATCATCAATTTTTAGTTTAAAATCAGTGATTTTTGAGATTCAAGAAAAAACCTAGGGCAGACCCAGGATTGTCGGAAAGGAGGGAGGGAGGGGGGGGGGGGGGGTCCAACACCAATTTTTAAGAGAAGTGTGATTTGGGTAATCTTTCCAAGTTTTCAGCTCTTTCCAGGCTCTCTCAAGGAGGGCTTGTTTAGAGCAAAGGCATAATGTCCCCATAATTTTTTGTGTGAATATCGTCTCAGGAATTTTGCCAGCCATCCCAAAGTGTGGGGCTGTAGGATTTCTCTTTAGTATGTTTGGATATTTTCACTCCCCTCCCTTCCTCCCTTCCTCCCTCCCTCCCTCCCTCCCTCCCCAACAAACCCCCCCCCCCCCCAAAAAAAAAAAAAAATGGGTGGCCCATTTTATCGATATACAGCTTATTAATAATGAAGTAATGTGATATGTTCACGAGGTCAAATATTTATGAGTGATTTTACCAAAAGCTCTCAGGCTTTCTCATATTATCAATTTTCCTTCAACATTTATCAAATTTTCTCTGTTACTGTATATAATGTATTCTCTTTGTTATTTTCAGAGTTGGATGGTTGCAGCGGATTCTATCTCTGATCTCAGTGCAGTCTGGGGAGTCATGTGCATCAGACATCCTTAGCTTTATACTCATCAATGAATCTAATCCAGCAAAGGTAGGGAGGATGGTGAATGATGGTTGATGGTAATAGAAGTGGTGATGGTGATGGTGATGGTGATGATGATGACAATGATGATGATGATCATAATCATGATGATGTTGGTGGTGGTGGTGATGACGAAAGTTATCAATAAATCTAACCGAGCTAAGGTAGGGATGGTGATGATGATGGTGAATGATGGTTGATGGTAATGAAAGTGGTGATGGTGATGATGACGACAACGACGACAATGATGATGATGATCATAATCACGATGATGATGGTGGTGGTGGTGATGACGAAAGTTATCAATGAATCTAACAGAGCTAAGGTAGGGAGGATGGTGAATGATGGTTGATGGTAATAGAAGTAGTGATGGTGATGATGATGACAACGACGACAATGATGACGATGATGATGGTGGTGGTGATGACGAAAGTTATCAATGAATCTAACCAAGCTAAGGTAGGGATGATGATGATGATGATGATGATGATGATGATGGTGATGATGATTTGAGGATGGAACATGATGATGGTGATGATGATTTGAGGATGGAACATGATGATGATGATGATGATGATGATGATGATGGTGATGGTGATGGTGATGGTGATGGTGATGGTGATGGTGATGGTGATGGTGATGGTGATGGTGATGGTGGTGATGATGGTGATGATGATGATGATTTGAGGATGGAACATGGTGAGGAGATGGTGATGATGATGATGATGATGATGATGATGATGATTATTTGAGGATTGAACATGATGATGATGATGATGATGGTGATGATGATTTGAGGAGGGAACATGGTGAGGAGGATGATGATTGTGATCATGATGATGGTAAAGATTTTAGTGATGATCATGACGATTGAGATGATGATAGTGATCATTATGATGACAGTGGTAAGGGTTTTGAGAGTGGTAATGATAATGATGAAAGCAATGTTGATGTAGAGGAGGAATGTGAAGAACTATTGCGACACCATCTCGTGCAAGTGGACTTTCTCCTACTCCATTTCAATGTCGACAATGTGCATATTACAGGGAGAGGGTTAAGGCCCTAATTAGCTCACACTTGGTGGAAATACCATTAATAGTCTGTACAAGTCTGTGCAAACACAGTGAACCCGTAGTCCTATAGAATCTTCAGGTGCATGAAATGTAAGATAATGACTTTACCATACCATACAAGGCTTGTCAGTTATCAAACTGAAGGCTAATCCTAGTGATTAAAGGTACTATGTCCCATTTGCAGGCCAAAAAAATGAAAAGGTGAAATTTCAAAGGCATTTGAAAGATAATACTAATTTAGAACTTCCCTAAAAAAGGTGGGGCTTGAAAATGTCTTCAAGTGGGAAAGTAACGACTATTAGTTGTCAAATCGACTTAGGAGCTATAGAGCCAATAAGTAATAGTCTTGATTTTTAGACCATTGTACCGAATGGTCATACATTTTATGCTGCGCAAAGATTCAATCAATTTAATTTTGGCCATCACAAGAAGTGGGTTTTTGATGTACCGGTAGACAAATGCTCATGTACCTTTTACAGAGCTGCCAACTAGTACGGATTTCCCGTAATTGGTACGGAAATTAACGACCATTACGGAATGTTGTTTAAAATTACGGATTTTAAATTTTTTTTTTTTTTTTTTTTTTTTTTTTTTTTTTTTTTTTTTTTTATATATATTTCCCCCCCCCCATTTTTCCTGGAAGACTGTGTTGTGATGATATGAAACTCATTATTTAACAACTTTGTGTGAGTAAAATCACCAAAAATTTCAGATAATCATGTGTCTGTGCAATGTTGGCGTGCCGTTTTTATTAGAGTCATAGCGCCGCATAGAAAATTACTGATTTATACCCAAAATTACTGATTTTAAGCCTTGTGATTACTGATTTTCTGTTCTGGAGGTTGGCAGCTCTGCTTTTACAGCTCATTTTATGTATGTTATTACCAAAGAAGAAAAAAGCCAGTCAGTCATTCAATAGTGTCTGACAGTGAAGTCTATCAAGTAAACGGGTTTCCTTGCATAATTTGAATATTAGGACACTGCTAACGTTCAAATTTCACAGATAGGACATACATGACATATTTATAATTCCTGCAAATTTCTACAGAATTTGAGGTTGGCTGCAAAAGGGACATAGTACCTTTAACTGAACACCCGAATGGTGTTGAATTCCCCACGAGAGCCCACTTCTATGCACCTTTAACCTTGGATGTGGTTTCTCTTCTTGGTATCAGATCGGTCTATACATCAGTATCCTGACAGAGATTGAGACCAGTTATCCTTCAGTGCTCCCTGCCGCCATCCAGAAATCAGTCAATCAACTGCAGAGAACTACCCCAAAGCAGGTAGAAAACCCTCTGCATGGAAAATAAACAAATTATTTGAATATTCAGAGTATCAGTAGGCCCATAAATTGGGGTCAAAGAAGTAAAGATAATGGAACAGATTATTTTGTTATCTATTTGGCACCATAATTAAAGTGATAGAATTCAAAGTTGCACAGTATATTGTTACTGCCATATCTATAGTGAGGTACACACCCAAATATAAAGAGTACATGAATATATTTTCCTCTTTGAATATATATTAGCTTATTATACATTGCTTGTTTTCATTGCTTATAGTCCATTAAACCATGACATGCAATTGTACAGAAATTTTTGAAAAAAAGGATAATCTTTGTTTTGATAATGTAAAAAGGCTCTGATGCTAAATATTTTAATGTGGCATAAAATTTGACATCTTTTGTTTCTATCTGACAGACACTGCAGCTCTTGACCAACCTCAACAAACTGCTGTCCTTCAAGAATAGCACCCATTCCAGCAAGATGACCTCTAACCTTCGCACCCACTTGACCCGTCACCTCCAGATGATTGCCAGCCAGCTTCACCATGGCGACCTGGGCGTGGCTTGTCAGACAGTGGATCTCTTGAAGCTGATTGGTCTACCCGAGCTGATTGACATGTCGACCTTGCTCTGCTTGTGTCAGTCGTCTGTGGAGTTCTTCTTTGCAGCAATGCATAGTGCAGGTAAGAGAGAAAACACTCCTACTTGAGGCACAAAGAATTCTTTAAACACCACTGTGGTCAAATTGAACAAAATAGGCAAATTTTGTTCCACTTTTCAGTATCTTATAACACAAAGATTAGTATACTGATATGCTTTTCACACTTGTTTTGCTTAGCCCTGTACTTTGCTTAGCCCCGGACTAACTTTCTTGACTTTACACACACGTTATTTTAGTCCCGTTCCTAAGCACCTATCCCGGGATAAGAAAAGCTGTATAGTGTGAATATTCATGAGGGAACTTTTCTGCAGATGCGCTCTTGCTCACACTAGCAGGGGGCAGGGTCATATATTTAATGATAAAAAGGGTATAATTTAAACATAATCACTCTGTTAATAAAAGTTGCCTCGAAAAGAATATTTTTAAAAAATTCCAGTGAAAAGTCTGCATAGTACACAATAAGAGTACACAACATGACATTTTGCACCAGTAGTGCTTTACAGGAAATGCATATACATGATGGATACGTCGTCTCTGATTGGACAGTGGGTTTCTTGCTTCACCTCTGGCCAGCTCAGATACGCTCCATTGCGTAGTACCAGACTTTTTTGTTGTTTCCGTTCTCATTCATTTGCTTGGCATCGGAATTGCAGAGTTAGCCCTGCTCTTTATACAGGCCCAACTAACCCATCACTTTAAAGCCCAAGTCCACTCCAAAAATAACTTACTTTCAATAGAACCAGAAAAATCAGACAAACCAATCAACACAAGTTTGAGCAAAATCGGATAACTAATAAGAAAGTTATGCATTTTTAATGACATGAAAAACTTTGAAAATCACTACACAAATTGGCAACTCACTCATGAGTCTGTGACGTATGGTCCTCACTATCCACTAATTATTTTCTTTATATTGATAATATAAATTTCCTATTTTCACCCTAAGAATCTTATTTCTTCACACCAGCATCCAAGTTAGGTTGTTAGTCATGTGTTTTTGTGTGGATGCACAAATAAAGAGTAATTTTTGTCCAGTTAAATCATGAAAAATTGAATTTTGATAAACTATTCATATAAAAATCAATAATTATGAAATACAATATTCAGAAAATAGTATAAATTCTTCAAAATTCATAAAATGTTTTTGGGAAATGTCATGCATGCAATATGATACAAATCATATAACCTGGGCAAAGGCATGGGGAAATCAAGTTTTGGGAGATAAAAGGGAAATTAATGGGATTAAACTATATAAAGCAATTGATAAGTTGTGAGGACATGACGTCACAAAGTGATAACCATCTTGGCTATTTGTGTTGTGATTCTCATTGTTCCATAGTTTTACATGAATTCATAACTTTCTTATTAGTTATCCGATTTTGCTCAAATTTATTTTGATTGGTTTGTCTGATTGTTCTGCTTTTATTGAAAGTCAGTTATTTTTGGAGTGGACTTGCCCTTTAAGTGGGGCTAGCCCACTTGTGTAAATTTGTGTCTGAATTGAAGATGGGCTAAGCTTTACCCAGGACTATAGGTGGGGCTAAGAACCCCTTTAGCCCCACCTATAGTCCGGGGATAAGCAAAATTCTACCAGTGTGAAAAGCATATGAAGAGCACAGGCATTTGTTTTACACACCAAAATATTGGCTGTTTGTTGAGGCAGTAGATCACATTGCTTGATGCTTTTAATTCTATGACATATAGTTAACCCACAGATTAAAGAACTTTTCCAAAGGTCTGGGTGAATCAGCAGTACAGAGTAATCTTTCTTTCAATCTTTACGTTGTCAAGACGAATGAAATTTGTATTAGATAAACCTGTTTGAATGAAAATAATGCCAACAACAGATTTGCAAATTTTCATATTTGTTATTTGTTTCCTACAATTTGTTATATATTGATATATGTATTGACTTATCGACTCTTACCACACTCTTACAGATACCATGGAAAGGTTAAAGACCTTGGAAACATGCAGCAGTTATTTAACCTTCTTATGCAGTCATACCACCGCCCAATCCATTGTTCTCAGATCCTTACTCGTCGGGTCTGTGCAAGTGGTAAGAACACTGGCTTTATTCCTTCTTATACTTGGGACTTAAAAAGTTATTATGAGAATGTTCCAGTGGGTATTCTTCGTGATACCAGGAGCTTCTCAAAATCTCTCTTGTGCCAATGTTTTGCTTTTCTCTGCTGACTCGTCTTTGAATTCAGAGGTGTTTGTTAAGGCTGTGCATAACACAGGGCTTAAATTAATCCAAGGCCACCAAGGCCATGGCCTTGGATGCCCCTCCCATTGGCCTTGGAGATTTTTGGTGCCCTTTCCAATTCTTCCTATTTGTGCTGTAATATAGGAATGTGCCCTACAGAAAAGTGGCCTTGCCCTAAAAATACTGAAATTTAAGGCCTGATAACATGTACTCGGTCCGTCTCCAAAAACTCACACGAGTTTACTTAGAGTTGCAGTTGAAGGCGCCGATTTAATAATAATATTGATAGTAAACAAGGCAGTTTTTAAAACCAAAGATGACAGATAATCCATTTTCCTCCGAGTCCAAACAGAAATCCGGACATTTGGTCCCAGTTTCTGAGTGGTGAGTTGACAGTGATTGAGCTGGGGAACAATTTTTACCAACGGTACCGTTCTGGCGGCCGGCGCTCTCCCTGGCACGGGTAAGCGTCGGCCTGGACAGAGCCAGGCGGGGGCCAAAAAAAAAAAAAAATGGTGGCCGAGTAGTTGTCAACAGTGCGAGTACTCAAGTATTCGACTACTCGTTGCAGCCTTAGTGTTTCTTATAAAGGGAGTAGGTCTTATAGTTTAAAGGCAGATAATGGTACTACAGCATTTTTTACGGCGCTCTAGCATTTTAATGAATTAGTTCCTGCCAGGTACCTATTTATAACACCTGGGTTGATTGTGCCAAAGGACATTAGTGCCGCGGACCTTGTGATCGACAGTTCAATGACGTATCTACTCGACCACGACACCTATAACCTTGTAATGATATATTTATGATATGATACTTACAACGGTTGCATCTAGTAGTGTTGTGCAATGTATACATTTCTAAAGAAAGGAATGTTTTGGAAACCCTACCATTTTAATCTTGAGACAAGTAAAAGACGCTAACAGATCACAACAAGGATGAGCTTAGTAATAAACATTTACAACTGTAGTAAGGTGCTGTCATTGCATATGAGATATAATTGTTGTTACACATCTGAAAAAGGAAAAAATGTTACTGTTTGTGTTCTGCTTGTAATTGTAGTGCTACTAGTGCATACCAGGAATTCACCAATGTGAACGATTTTGTTAGAAAATTTAAGTTTTTCCATGTCTGTGTGTGCCTGAATACAAGACTTGTGGAATAAATTATTTGCTATCAGAGACACTTTTTTAAACACATTCATGGCCTCTTGAATTGTGATCTTTTGGTAGGGCAGTACTGTGACATGTTGTGTTGGTATTTGGTACGGAAACAGAGATTTATGATTTAGAGTTATGTCTAGGTCAGTGAATGTTTGAGCAAAATTCATTAAAAAATCAAAAAGACATCAATTTTGAAGTCGGATCAATCAATCACATATTGGCAACTATGTGACGCATTATGCGAGCTTTCTGGAAAAAATTCAGAAATGTCTATTTACCTGAAAGAAAATTTCAAATCATACATGCACCCTTGCAAATATGTTTCTACACAACGCCTGTATGAAACAATTCTGTTCCATCACCAATAATAAGATACGTCACAGTCATTTGTTGCCAATTTATCTTTAATTGATCGCAACATCCTTAACTTTTATTAATTTTCAATCAGATTTTGCTCAAACTTTCAAGGACTTCTTCCTCGCATTTTTCTGCTTCTATTAAAACCAACTTTGGACTTCCCCTTTAAAGATGGCTTACACACTGCATTTTACTCTTGTATTTATATTTACCCCGTCCCTCAGCATAACTCGCAACTGTTTGCCAATGCGAGTAATCACTCTGCCCAGCACCCTCAGTCCCGCTCACAATCTTCCATGATGGAATCTTCTCTCGGATCAGCTTATCTACTAAAACACAACCAGAAGTTCTCCGGGTCTCTGACAGTCCCTAGAAGTGCATCTACAGCATTCCATTCAGGCATTATTGGACAGGGGGCTAGGAAGAAGCTGCCTGGACAAGCTGTGTCAGATATTGTAAGTTAGATACTTTTTACATGTAACAATATTATTATTATTTTAACGTCATTTTAGGGATTGTAGTGTTATTATTGTCATCATCTTTTTTATAATAAGTTTAAGAAGAGTTGGCATTAATCGCCAATGGGAGAGAAAAAAGAAGAAGATAATTTCAAAGCATGTCATGTAAGTCTCAGAAGAGCATTATAAATACTCTTTGAGTGTCCAGAGTCATGACCCAGTTTTGTATTTGCATTTGATAAAAAAAAGGCAGAATGTAATACATCTGTCATTTTTTCTGTCTACAAATTTGTAGGAAACGAAACAGACCAACTCTCGGCTGCTGGTAGAGGCCATCTCCTCCTGCGCCCACGTGAGACCACGCCCTGCCCCCCTCATAAAGGCTGGTAACACCCATCTGCTCCCCTTGGACCCCAGGGCACAGGGCATTCAGCAAGCATCCAGGCAGCCTGTAGCCAGAGCTACAGGGAAGCTCATGGCAGAGACACTGATGGAGATTCTGTGTCCTGATGTGAGCCATTCAGAGGAATACTGGCCAGACGAGGAGATGATTAAGCATACCATTGAAAGGTTGACATACGTGGATACTTGGTCTATCTGTCTGTCTGTTTGTTTCACTCATGCTCACCCTTTCTCTGTCCTCTCTCTCTCTCCCTTGTTTGTGCTCTGTCTCTCTTTCTCTCTTTGCTATTTGTTCTTTCTCCCCCCCCCCCTCCCACTCTCTCCCACACTCTAGCTCTTTCTCTCCCTTTCCCCTATATAATTCTCTTTTCCTCTCTCTCTCTCATTATTTCTCCTCCCTCCCTCTTTCTCAGTCTCTCCTCCTCTCTTGACACTCCTGTTTGCTCCAATTGTCAGTGATATTTTACAAAATAATCTCATAGAGCCAACATTTTGGACTTCTCTTCTTCCCCTCTCTCTCTCTCCCTCTCTCTCTCCCTCCCTCCCTCCCATCTCTCTCTCCCCTCCCTCTCTCTCTCTCTCTGTCAATCAAACTTGTCTGTTGGTAAAATGATTACTTAAAAACAAAAACTTTAGACCTAACATATTGTAGAATGTTATTTATACATTTCAAACCTCATCAGAAGCTATTAACCTTATACAAAGACAATTATTTTGTAAAATATTAGTGTTTCTTATATACAATTGAAAAGCCTGTTAATAAGCCTATGCAACCTACAGTTTTTAAACTGGTTTGTCCTTCCTGTTTTGCTTTAATTCGTTCAGGGATTTGAGTATTAAGAAGAGGGTTGATGAGTATCCTTTTACGTGGGACGTCCTGGAAATCATTTCAAGAGGTGAGTATGAATCAATGACTGACTTGTGATGTCTAATATATCATCCATATTAAAATCACCCACAGTGTACATATGTACAGAAATGAGTGCCATTACCTTGTGCTTGTGAAAAGCATCTTGACAATAATGTCAATGGTTATAAAGTAAAGATAATATCTTTATTCAGAGAAACATTGCTTTAAGTGTTGTTTTTTTACTGTTAAATCTTTAGATAATCCGAATAAGTTAAATGCAGTCAAACCTGCCTTAGCCACCACCTGTCTATAAAGAACACATTTTTCTTTTCCCTTGGTCGTGTTTTCTCATTGAAACCTGTACTAAAGGAACCTGTACATAAAGACCATCTGCCTATAAAGACCACTATGCATGTTGCACTTAAGTGGTCTTTATATACAGGTTTCACTGTAGTATCTTTTGTGGAGATTAGTATGTTTTTATGTTTGTTTCTGTTTAGCCAAGCCAGCACTGTGCTACTGCTCTGGTCTATTGTACAGTGTTATGGCAACACTCATCTCTCACTGGGAGTCATCCCGTGATGAGACTGCAGGGGATTCCAAAGGTCATCTTCTGGTCACCTGTCGTCTTGTCCACTGTATGAACCTGGTAAGACCCTCACAAGCACACCAAACACCAACTGTCAATCCAAGAATAAATCTCAAAAGAAATTTCCTTTTCTGGTTTACACTCTTAATATGCCACACTAATATTAATATCCCTGTCTATGTTGTATTCATCATAGAATAGATATTGCCAACGGCCTCTAGATTTTTTAAGTGATTGAAGTGCAAAATTAATTTATGCTGCCGTTAAAAAAGTGTTGTCAAGGAGCTGATTAAGGCCGGTAATGGGTAATTTTGCAAAGCCATTGTGTTGCAGAAAGCAATGATCCTTCCGTCACGTGGTGCCGATTGTGTTGTGCAAAATTGCAAGTTTAGCGAACGAGAAAGAAACTGAAGTGTTAATAAAATGAAAGGACCCGATGAAGTATTCCTGATAAAGTTAAGTTGAATGAATTGTGGACAAAAATACAAATATTATGAAGTATTGTAATCCTTTTGGTCCTACCCCCCCCCCCCCCCACAAGGCTCAGATAGCGATAAATGATCTTGCACTGTTTCATAAAACTTATTATCAATACAAAATTAAAATAACTGTCTATAAGCTACTGAAATCATGGCACTTGATTGGCCGAGAGCAAATTTTTCAGAAATTTAGCATTTTTTGTTTTCGATAAAAAGCTTTATGAACATGATGGCAATGTGTGCTATGCCCCATTGTTTTAACACATAATGTGATGTGACCCGTTGGCATCTCCACATAATGAGGCATTGATAATTCTTATTTGTTGTGAGTATAGTACAGTTCTGCATTTTTCCAAATTTAAAGAGAGCAGAGTCTCCAAAGCTAGTGCATTTAGAGGTTGACTTTTCAGCTTCTTTTAAAATAGGCCTATTTGAGATTTTTGTCTAGGAAAAGCATATCAGATGTGCATTTCAATATCTATGAATAGCTCAGTCTTATGAACATGCAAAACCTTTTTTGTAGGGCCGTTTTCTATTTTTGAAGTTCATCAATGCTTGTTTTGATTTGCTTTGTTTAGGCTGGATTCCTTCCCCCACCCCTGAACCAGTGTCATCCAATCTTCAGTGAACTCACTCCTAGAGAGGTCTATGTCCTTCTCAGTAACATATGGGCATTCCTAACGGTGAGTATGACGTACTGCCTCCCTGGGAGAGCTAACCCCAGGACAACCCCATACTCTGGGACACCCTCCCCCCTCCCCTCCCCTCCCCTCCCTGGACATTGGCATATGGCATTCCTTAGCTTAGTATAGCCTCACTGAGGAGCCTGAGCTCTCTAATATAATTTAAGAACACCCTGGACAATTTTACCCCGACAACTTGATCTTTAGGACAACTTACCTAAGGAAACTTACCTCTGGGCAACTACCCCGCTAGGTGAACTACCCCTCAGAAATTAACATCCTGGAAAGGTGTATATACACCCGTCTGTTACATATGGACATTCCTTCAGGTTAGTAAGCTTATCAGCCCAAGCTCTTCAGCATGATGCTAGGACATCTATCCCCATGACTCCTGACCCAGATAACTACCCCTCATCTAACCACAGGACAGTACCTCGGGCATCTGCTCTCAGGATATGACCCCCCCCCCCCCCCCCTCCCCCCACTCCATGTATCTTCAACTGCTGTCCATATAGAATAGAGAATACTTCCTAGTAGGGGTGTTATTAGCACGACTTTAATCGCTTTAGTGGCAATTTTGTGAGATAACTGATAAATTTCCTTATTTAAAAAAAAAAAATTACAAAAAAAGTTAATGTTTAGTATTAAACTTTGTTCCAATCCCCTTCTCACAAGATGATCCTTGAGAGCAAAATGTAAAAAGGAGAATATGATTCACTTATTTTGCTCTTACCCCTTTGTATATATATATATATCTTTGTAGGATAACCCACCCATAGCAGAAGTCTTCATTGAAACTGATGAACAAGGCTTACCCTCCAGAGCTTTCCCGCAAGGTAATCATCTCTTTATTACTTTTGTATGGTTTGGTGCCCTTTCTCTACGCAGGTGATTTATTCAGGTCAAGTAGAAATGAGAGAATTAAAAAGTGATTTCACCTGCTAAAAGCCAAGTCATAAACAGCACTTACTTAATACCCTTCGGACTATCAGCGATGGCTCAGTGGTAGAGCAGTGGACCGAACCGGGAGCTGCCGGGTTCAAACCAAGTCAACGTGCTCTTGCCCTTTGGTAAATCCTCGATAGCAAGTCCCTCAGAGAGTATTTATAGCTGTCGTTCCCCTGGTTATTTACTTACAACCATATACCGGTACATGCTTTCTTAGCAGTTGGGTAAAACAATCATCATCAAACAAATGTTATGAATTAGTTATCACCTCATTTGCTTAATACTCCACTTAGTATACAATATTGTTAAGATTTGTAAGCATTTTTCTCTAGTCTTTTGTCAAAAAGAAATTTCCAAAATGTCACAAACTGATTGTAATGCTTGCCAAAATTGAGATGGGGCAATAAATTTCAAGTTAAATTATAACATTATAATTTCACTTGAAATTTATTGCCCCATCTCAATTTTGGCAAGCATTACAATCAGTTTGTGACATTTTGTACATTTTGTACATTTTGTACATTTTGTACATACATATGTAGTTTGACGTGGCTCCCTAATTTGCAAATACTTTAATCATTTTTGTTTTCTTTGCTTATGAGTCAAAAGAGTGGATTATTTTTAAAATTGTCTCTTTCTGTATTTCTCATCCTGTTGGCAGAATTGGTGTCCAAGTACGCCGAGGTTGTAAGGAGTCTAGTCCATCGAAGTATCCATAAGTTTGGTCATCTCTACGCCCATCTCTGTCCTGTTCCAACTCAGATTTAAATGTGTACATAGTACAGCCTTTTTAGCAGGCTCAATATACTACTGGTTACATGCATTATGCAAACACATCGACCAGAATAAATAAAGGTGCCTAAAAACGTATGAGCATTACCCTGGCTTTTGGCCAAGTTGCTTCACATGCTGAACACATTCAAAGCCTGCGTTTAATAAGGTTTAGTTGAAATAATTGATGTCAATCAATTTGACAAGAAATAAGAACTGCACTAATACACCATACCTTTAAAGCAGCCGTTTTAACTATGCCCGGGTAATATCATTGTTTGCACCTTCGTGGAGTGTAAGCATACATTGATATCTAAAGAAATCCCATATTTGATGGGTGTATGACACATGCATTGCGTTCAATTTCTAAGTTAACCAAACCTATTCCTAATGATGACCCCTGGACTTGTCAAGATGACCCTAATCTTAACCTAAAACCCATTCACACTGTCAGTAGCTGCATTTACACTGCAAGCAAAAATCATTGAATTTTCTCACATTCTATGTGTTAGTTCGGTAGTTGCAGCAACTACCTGCCCGCTCTTGAACTTCGGTACGAATCTGTGTTTCTTTCTGTGTGATCACATGCAGAGCAGCGACAAGTAGCATATGCGCACTAACCACCAAGAAAGTGTAATGAGCAATCACCACCATTTTTCTGGCTTTTTCCAGTAGTGTAAATGGCAGTCAAAATATTGACTATTGTTCTAAATGGTGTTTGGGTTGTGTAAACGGGCTTATTCAGTACTAAGCACACATGTACATGCATCTTTCTTTAATAGCGATTTAAAATGTCCAAGGATATTTTCTTTGAAAAGTTTTATCCCTGAATATTGCTTCAGAACAAGAACAATCATTTAGATGTTGCTTTTGATCTTACAAGCATTTATGCTTTCTTAGCAGTCGGGTAAAATAACCACCACCATTCTTTCATTCCCGTATTTGATACCTCATTTGAATCGAGACTTGAGAAAATACAATTGGAAACATTCAGAATAAAATAACAATATTTCATGTGAAATTGGTGGGAAAAAGTTACATAATATTGTAAATATGTCTGTAGATATTTTGTATTAAAATACTTCTGCAAAATGAGTCTTAATTTCTTGTTTTGTATTTTGTTAAGCACATTGCCTGTTTTGGTAATGCAGACGTGCTATTGCGCTGAGCCGAAGGTTGTTATTCAAAACCGTATTTTAAAACCAAGATTATTAACCATCCATTTTTAATTTGTTATTTGTCTAGATCCCTTAATGGTACAAGTTAGACTAGAATAAGAAGAGACTTACACAAAATTTGGTGTTTGGCATGCACATGTGTTAAAGGTAATGCAAAGTTTTGGGAAATTTTGAAAATTGGATTGATAGTAATTCTTTACAATTTTGATGTATTTGGATGCCCCTGTATTATAAGCACTAGAAAATTCAGCCCCTAAAACACTTCTGCTTTCAAGAAATTGAATAATAAAATTTACTGGTGCTCCTGGTAAATGTCAAATATTTCAAATAGCCCCCTAGGCCATTCTATGGTAGCTGCGGCCATGCAAATCTCAGAATATGCACTTCTGATATATAATTTCCAACAAGAAATAGCAAATTGGTCGATCCTAGTCAAGAAACAATGTTTTTAGAGCTAAAGTAATATCAGTCTTGAGAGGGCGCTATACAACATAAAGAGTTTACAATTTCATCACTTTAGACTAGATTTCAACCGCGAAGACGGTCATTGAATATTGTAAAATCGCATATGTTTCCAATGTGTTCATTTGAACCGAATTCATGACCCCATACCAAAACTTTGTAATACCTTTAAAGAGAAGGTTGAGTTCTGGGAAGAGGTGAAAAATTATTTGTGAGCATTATCATTGTTATTATGCAAGTGTGGAAGAACATCAGATAAAACATGTTCTCTGAAAAGCATGGCTCTTCAAATGCCTTCATATACAGATTTTTACGCCACGTGCTCGTGTAGTCCCATATACACCTTTCTGTGTACAGTGCTTGTAACTTTATCAAGACTTGGCCAAATTTCTCATCATTTTGATGATTCCAGAACCTTGCAATACACACGAATACTTATATGCTAGATGATCAACCTTTTCTGCTATCGCATGACCAGAACTCAACTTCATCTTTAATGCCAAAGCCATGGCGAAATGCACACTTTACCTTTATGCAAGTTTTCATTCTACCTTGCAACTTAAAAAACTAAGCCAATTACGACAGGAGTTCCAGCAACTTTAGTCCATCGAGTCCAATTAGAAGTGTATAAAAACATTGCTCGCACATTCTCAATATCACAGATGCTTGCGCATTCTCAATATCACAGATACATGCATACAAAAATAAATAGGACAATAAAGAGTATTTTACGTTTAAGGCAAGAAGTGAGAAAAACATATTTCCTTCACAGAATATTTATTGTATTCACAGAATAGACTTCTCTGCACTTAATTAATCAGAGCTTATTAAAGGGGAAGTCCACCCTGATATTAAGTCGGTTTTAATAGAAGCTGAAGTATTGGGGAAACGGATCAGTGAAAGTTTGAGCAAATACAGTAAATAAAGTTATGCATTTTTGAAATTGAATCGTTCAGACACAAATTGGCAACTCTGTGATGCATCTTGGGAGATCCTCTTCCATTTGCTCTGTACTATATAATTCACAAATGTCTATGCTTTTCCAAAACCCATGTACGACATAAATATATTTCTTCATCAATAAATGAACCAATAAAATGAACATTTATGACATTTTCGGAGCTCGCAAGGTTCATCAGTGTTGGCAATTTGTGTTGGCTTACAACTTCAAAATTTAAAACTTCCTCATTGTTTATCTGATATTGCTCTAGCTTTCACTGATCTGTTTATCCAATTTTCTACTTTTATTAAAACCCACTGAATATCAGGGTTTACTTCCATTCAAGTAACTTTGGGTTATCATCAAAGGCACATACCAGATTACACATTCATGTAACAATAAAGTAGCTTTATCTTAGATCACATAATCATTTATAAATATAAAACTTTCAGAATTTACATTTGAGAAAACAATCCTCTCTTAATCCACAAGATAAATTCAAATAACTTCTTTTTGAATGCATTGCGTAGCATTGTCTTCTTATATATTCTCATTACAGGATAAAACTTGTGTTCCGGAAATTTTGATAAAAAATGGTCTGATTAATTAATAATTAAAAATCATTAGGAAATTATAATTTTCATAAGGTATGAAGATTCTTGGTAATTCCCTGAAATATCTAATGAAGAAGACATATGTGGAACAGCATCATCTTAAGATTTTTTTCTTCAGTGAAAATGATTGTGAACATTAATTTTTATATTCAGTTTTGCAAAATTTCCAAGATGTATTTTTGTTTACTCCTCGTCATTTCCAGAACATACCGATACATGTACCTAAAGACTCCAACTTCATGCATACATGTAAGCTGGCCTTTGACATTTAGTAACAAGTAAAATATTTGAATACAGTATTTACATTGGGTGTGGAAAACTGTGCATTGCAAATTTCTTACTGATAAAAGATTTGGGTAGAAAATGCAGCTCCCAAATCTTCTTGTATACACACACAAGAGAAAAAACAATGACTTATCAGAATTCAATATAAAAAGGCACCACTAATAATATTCATGTTTTTCTTATGATCACAGATACATGAACATATGTATAAAGGTCTCGTTCAGATACGTAACGGTAAACCGCAGCAGGTTGGCTCCTGTATGTATGCGACAAAGGCTTTCCATGTTTTCACAGAGCTGTGTGTTATATAAGAATAGATACAGAAATGTGAATAGTGTATCACACTGACATCTTTTTATAATCGCTGCGGTTTACAGCTGCATATTGAACGAGGCTTAATGAGTAATAACAAAAATGCAAATGCCAGCTTTACGAAGATCACCATTTCATCAGTTCACACATTGCATTTAATTTCATGTAGTCTCTTTGTACATGAGAATTTTCAAAAATATTGATGTGTATACTTAAACAAGCAATTATAGTACACTTTGAAATACATGCACTGCCATGAAATTTATTTTAAAAAGTAAGTCATTCTAATTTCTGGTAATAATGTCGGCTGAGAGCCAGAAGGGCGCTGACTCTACATACACGTACGTACACCCTTCTATAGCTCTTAACAGGAGAACTATTTATAGTACAAGTGTGCAACCAACAATGACTGGAATACACAACACAAATCATATGGCTACCGGTATGCATACTTGTTTCTATATATGTTGCATTTGCTGACCATAATAAAGAGTTGACTAACATTCTTGTAACAGGTGAACACCTGATAAGCACTAGGCTTCTCAATCATGGCCTATGAATCTGGAACAAGTATACAGAATAGCCTCCATGGAAAAAGCATTACATGTCCATGTTATTTTCCTAACATTCATTTAAATTCAGAGACTGAAATATAATGATATATGTGCATTTTAATTCAATTAAATCACAGAATTACACGAGCATGAAAGAAAACAAACAATTTGCATTACAAAATGACTCAACCTCAAATGTCTAAAAAGTAACCCTGTAAAATAAAACAAGAAAACATTTTGAATGATGATATTAATTAAATTTAACAGTTAGAACTGAGAGTCCCATGTTCTACACAGCAAGTTAAAGACACATACATGTAGTATTGTGCTCTCATGGGGAATTCGACACCATTCGGGTAAATTTAACCAAGAGCAGGGGTTGTCATTGTCAATCACCGGGATTAGCCTTCAGATTTATGACCAACAGGCTTTTGCATGTGTAATGGTCTGCATTTTCCGTCCATACTCCTTATGGTAAAGTCATTATCTTACATTTCCTCGGACAAATACTCTTGGAGAGACTAGGGGGTATAGTTCTTGATGGGACCACAGGTTTGCTGTGTGCGAGACTTGTACCCCTATTTTCACCAAGTCTGGTGTCAGCGAATTATGATCTTCAGCACATGGAAATGACGACCGTCTCCCTTTAAACCTCATTCAAGGTTTACGCTTGGTCTGCATTAAATTAAAAGTGTGTTACCATACTTAACCCAAACCAAGTGATTAAAACAGTACAAACCATCAAATCTGCATTGTTCTGCAATTACAATTAATTAAGTTTTCAAACTTGATTTTTATGGAGAGGTACATTTTTTTTCTTCTTTACATCATTTTGTTTACAAATATGCCTAAAAGAGACTAATCTGTACTTTGGATTTTGTTATCACACTGAAAGGCAATATGAAACGAGGTATGAAAACAAAAGTATTGTGTGCCGAAAGGGCATCAATGAATGTCATTCAACACACAATGAATGCCCTAGCGTCTGGCTCATAACAGTCAATACACCTAGCGATGCAAGTACAGATCATTTAGCGAGAGTCAGAAGCTAGGGTATTTACTCTGGGTAACATGATTTGAGTTAAAGGAAACCAAAACCTTCATACTAAGTTACTTTTATCATAAAGTTTAAAAGATTTGAATAAAATCAGTGAAAATTTGAACAAAATTGGGCAAGGAATAAGAAAGTTAGAGCATTTTTAAATGACTAGTCACTAGAGGGCGGTATTCAATATGATGACATCATCTGTGAACAACTCTCCATGCCTTTTGTACTTAAAATTTCACAATTTTTTTGTTTTCTTTGTATTTATTTGTGTTCTTGATCCGACTTTATAACATGTGAATAGAATATCATTTTGCATTCTATATCTTTCTTTCAGGGGAGTACATTATCTCAATCACAAGAAAGAAGGAAAAACATGAAATTTGATGTACAAAAGGCATGGAGAGTTGTCCACAGATGATGTCATCAAATTGAATACCGCCCACTAGTGACTAGTCATTTCAAAAAGCTCTTACTTCCTTATTCCTTGCCCGATTTTGTTCAAATTTTCACTGATATTTTTCAAATATCTTATTAAAGACCAGTTATGGTCATGCGATTGCATTGTGAAAGAAACGTTGTGGAATCGATCAGAAAAGGTTGATCATCTAGCATCTAGCATCTGCAAGATTCTGGAATCATCAAAATGATAAGAAATTTGGCCCATTCTTCGTAAAGTTACAAGCACTATACACAGAAAGATGTATATGGGACTACCCTATATCTCTCACAGACCATGAGAGAAACAAATTTACCAAATATATAAATTAGTAGGCGGTTTCCCGGCAATTTTTTTATCATCATGTAATTAGTCAAAACATATTCTTTCACATGATTGGTAATGAGAGCTTCCATTTCATTTTTTGAAATTGGGGCGTTTCCAATACTGGTCTTTACCTTTAAACTTTACAATAAAAGTAACTTAGTATGAAGGTTTTGGTTTCCTTTAATACCCTTTTTGCACTCAACAGATGAAATACACATGTATCAAGAATTGGATCAAGTATTGATTTTAACTATTTCAAACCCTTGCCCAACAAAGCCACATGGTCTGTTGAACACATCATGATCAATAGCTGTCAAAACAATCTGTTTTCCAACAGTAATAAAAAAAATTAAAAATAACTAAAAACAGCAACAAATATATATTTGTGTACTTAGATGAATTATTTCAAGGTAGATAATAACAAAACACACACATGGCACAAAATATACAAAATGTGAAGGATTACATGAACACACTCAAACGCTATCATATCATGAATAATAATAGTATAATAATTAGGCAATGTACAGGATGGAATGTGATTTGAGTCTTTAGCCATATTCAGGTGTGACATAGTAAATGAGCTAAAGAAAAGGTTTTGCATGAACGAAAGGCCCTAGTTGGTTGGAGGAGTTTTATAACACCTGTTGACATATATTTGGTAGCTAGAGCTAACCGTAATTGTAGCAGGGCTTATCCTGGAACAAAATATAATTCTTTAAATCTACGTAAACAAAAGCTTTCTCTTCTTTCTCTTCTTTCTATATTGCTATAGAAATGTGGTGCAAATATGCTGTCATTGTATTTTGCCATGATGAATTTCAAGCTATTTTTTGGAGGTGATTTATGTGTCATGTATAAATGCATGAGGCTGAACTCTAGAAATTGTAACAACTGTATAATTCTGAGTCACTCAATAATCATCAGCGTTACTATGGACAGACGAACATAATACTGTACAGATTTGTTGGTTCAAAATAACGCCAATGAATTATTGATTAAATCTATGATTTCTGAGCACGGAAAGATATCTTTACAATAGTACAAATGCACTGGGTTTTTTACAATTCTATTCCTACAAGATAAACTATACCTGTGGAGAAGATAGTGCTGACTTCCTAAAGGTACTAATTAGCTTTTGAAGAAGAAAATAATCTTTTAAAAAAAATAAGGTCAAAATTTGATAGGATGCTACACCTGTAGATTGAAAGGATGGCAACAATGACAAGGAATTTCTGTGAAGTTATTCTTATTATTCTACCTGAATGATGATAACACTCTTAAAGGTAATACAAAGTTTTGGTATGGGGTCATGAATTTGGTTCAAATGAACATATTGGAAGTATATGCAATCCTACAATATTCAGTGATCGTTGTCGTGGTTGAAATCGAGTCTAAAGTTATGAAATTGTAAATAATAAACTATGCTGTATAGCTCCATCTCAAGGTCAAGATATTAATTATGCTATAAAACAATATTTCTTGACTAAAATCGACCAATTGGCTATTCCCGATGGAAATTATATATCACAACTACATATTTTGAAATTTTCATGGTCACAGCTGCCATTGTACGGTCCTAGGCACTATTTGAAATTAATCAAAATTTACCAGGAGCACCGGTAAATTTTTATATTCAATTTTTCTGGAAAGCAGAAGTGTTTTAGGGGCTAAATTTTCTAATGTTTATAATACATCCACAGGAGTATCCAAATATATCAAAATTGTAAAGAATCACTATCCACCCAATTTTCAAAATCTCCCAAAACTTTGTATTAGCTTTAATTACTGAGCCTCAAATTATCTTCACATTTCAATTTTCTTTAAAATCAAGTTTCTATGCCTCTGCACTCTGCAGGTGGTACCTGAAGCATTATTCTTATTTGTCATTTTAACTAAATGAGTAATTCTACTTTCATAACAAAATGTTATACTGCTAATGCATTCATTTAGCTTCCAAGGAATAATGATGATTAATCCATTCCACAGAAACAAGATTAATGGAAATCTAAATTTAATCTAATCTTCTTTGCATCACAGGAAAATCATTTTGAGCATGTTTAATGTTTTCCTGAGCTCCAGTAGTAAACCACATTTTAAGAGGAACCGCTTGCAAGTATCCTTCATTACTAACAATGCATAAAGATATTGCACAGGATAAAGAAGAAAAATCAATAATCCAAGGAATAACGCAGTCCTCTATATTCATATTGTTAAGACTATCAAACTGTGATCAATATTGCAAAGACTGACCAGAAATCAACCTAGATGTGAGTACATGGTCTAGGTATACAATGGATAACTGACTCCACCTTCTGATCGATCATGTGCAATATAGCTTGAAAAGCCCAACTAGCACTAATGTAGGTGTCATGGGACTACAGACTACTATTGATCACGACCAGTTTGATTGAATTTAACCATCTCTTGCTTTAAAACTTGGCCATATAAGATTCTCCATCAAATTTCTGTGAATAACATTTTACTGGGTTCTTGTTTTAATTCATCGCAAATAAAGTTGGATTCTGTTAGATATGTGTCTTTAGCCATTACAAGAAATATGCAGGGCTCCCTGGGAACCAACGACAGGCAAAATAATTCTCAATACTGCACTACGGTACATACATGTACACTGTATGTTTATAGAAAGTCAGTGAACTAGAACATGGTGATCCCATTCATCAATATGTCAAATCTATTTTTACAAAATTGAAATTCTCACAATGCTAACAACATCATCATGTACAGATGTAAAAACAAGACATTATCATGGCAAACTTGCAAACATGAAAGCTAAAAAAAATTCTTTCATGTAAATCTAACAAAAAAATGGCTGAGATAAAAATAAGTGCACCTAGTGAGGACAATAAAAATAATTCTTTGGAATGATATTTGGCCGTGCACTGAGAAAGACATTGGCCCTGTCTGATTTTTAGTTTTTGACATTTTCTCATATGCCTGAGTAAGGGGTATAAATGTAGTTCTTAAATCTAGAATTAATGTAGTCATAAGCCTATAGTGTTTAAAAGATACTATTAATCTGGTCATCACATTCATTTATGCACACATTTGGTGCACAAATGAATCTCCGTCCCCTGAGGTGTATGCCCAGAATATGGACACTGAGGGCATACTCTGCTTTCGGCATCCTACCAGGCCCATATATCTCCCTGGATACAGAGAGGTAAATGTAGATCAATGCCATGCTAGGACTTGAACCCAAGACCTTCAGATAATGCCGTAATAATAATCTGGATTATATAACACTTAATACGGAATACCGTGTCTCTTAAGCGCTTTACAGCAATTATTACTCCAGTCATCAGATTCATTCACGCACAATGTGCACCATTTCCACTCCCTGGGGAGTATTCCTACCATATGGTCATCGTGAGGGCATAGGCAACTACTAACACAAATGCTTTCGTCATCCTACCGTGTCCTCATTTCTCTCTTGGGTATTCAGTGGCAAATGTAGATTAATGTCGGGGATCAAACCACGACCATTGAATTTAAAGGAAGCGCTTAAACCACTGGACTAAAGATCACTCGTCCAATCAAAAGATCCATAGTCAAGTGTTCAACCACTCAACCTATACACCTCTATATAAATGACCAAGATATACCTTAATAATCAGTGTACAATGGGAAGTGTGGAATAGAGAAGGAGAAAGATGGAACATGAACAAGGACAAAGTGAGTAAAATGAGGGAGAGATATAACATGGAGGATGAGAAAACACCAGAAAACAAAGAGACAGGGGCAAACAAAAATCTTTTAAAAAGGAACAAGGAATGATGAATGTAGGAAAAACAAAAACTACATTATTCAACAATATATATATTTCTTCTTCATGATCACTATCTTGAGAAAAGTGTAAAAATGGATAACTTTCACATTATTTTTTTTGTGTAAGATATATATTATCTTCAATTTACAAGTACCTGATCCTCTAGCAAGATCAATACCCTAGTTCACATTTTTTTTAAATCTTCATACTGAACACCATTCAACACAAGTTATAAATAATTTTCACTCAGATTTACAATGTTATTACAAAATATAGGTCATCTCTCCTTAAAAAAAAAACCCATCATGACTTAAAGAAGTCCATACTTTCTCATTCTTAGAAAAGAAAAATCATTTTTTTGATTTACAACTTTCTCAAACAGGGAAGGGGGAAGCAACGTCCAGCATTCTTCTGAGAAGCTTCTTCACTCTCTATCCCTGTCTTACAGATTCCTCCCATCATGCAACAGGTTCCTCTAGGTCTGAGAGACGGGTGTCACGTCACTTCTTGTGTAGCAAAATCCTCACCCTGAAAGTAAAACAATGGAGAGTAAGGGTAAAATAACTCTTATACTGTATACTATAACTCTTTGTCGGCTAAATGGTTGACCAAAGGAGCATGTTCCAAACATACGGGCCAATGATGAACGTCCGTCCTTCCTGAGGGAAACATAATAGCACAGACTACAAGACACCCGTTCCATGTAGTGCAGAGTTCAGTGTGCTGAACGCAATACCCCCTATGAGCCACTTTTAGAAGTCTTATATAATAATGTAAAGCAACATGTAATTATCCACCATGAGAATATTACATTTCTTCCATGCAATCTGCCATACTAATTACCATTTTCCATTTACACATTTTGAAAGCACCTACTTGTCTATAAATAGCAAATACAGAAAAAACAAATTGAATAGGGGTTTAAATGTCTCTGATTACCAGGTAATACATGTATTATTATAACACAAAAAAAACAATAAAAACAATAAAAACCACATCTTTGGCTATTACATGTACTTCAAGTTTTTTCGAAAAAATCTTCGTTTCTTTTTTTGTATCACAAGATTCAAGTATCTTTTTCTTTTCTTTTCTTTTTTGTATGTGGAATTTCCACCTTCTAGAATATAGAAGAAGAATAGAATAGAAGGAATAAAAAGTTTTATTTTTAAAGGTGAGACAGAAGTGAGGTACACTGTAGCAGAGCTGGCAACCTTTGGAAGTACAAATTAGTACTCAGCAGCTCCAAAATTAGTATTTTACCATCAAAATTAGTATTTTTCAACTGGCCTTCCTTTCACCTATTAAAAACCTATTGATGTCGTAACGCAGCGCAAATGCATACCATAAAGACCCTATTTTTGCAGTAATTAGTTGTTTTAAAACATATTCAATTGTACATGTTCATCTATATACCTTGTTTTAACTGCAAACTTGGTTCTTTTTAGTTCCAAGCTCTTGCTTCAGCCACAAAATCACCTTGAAGATTCACACACAAGTGACTATAAGCCACTCCATATAAAATGATGCACTGAATTCACAATATGGCTCTTGTAAAAATCTGCAATAATGTAGTACAGCAGAGTTGCCAACCTCTTGACACAAAAAAAACAGACTGAGTATCCTAAAAAAATCAGATTTTGGAGAGAAAAATCAGATTTTCACGAAAACTTGACACTACCAATGGCCGGTTGGCCCCGGGCCAGTAAAATTTCAGAAAAATGTGATACTGGTACGTACGGTCAAGTAAAATGTTTGCCCTTTCATTAAAATTTTAAAAGAAAACTGTAAAGCAAAGTTTTTGTTGGGGCTGCGAGGATTTACTTGTTCATGTTTTAATGCGATTCCGTGGTTTTTATGGATATTAAAAATATATATATATATAATTTTTTGTTGTTGAAAAATCGTATTTCAAGAGTTGATATTGTATTATCGTATTCCACTTTTATTATCGTACTAAATACAATTAAATCGTACTGGTTGGCACCTCTGCTGTAGAAGTGAGGCAGGGAATATAGTCCGTCTTTTACATCACCAAGGCACTTATTATCTAGTCTATACTTTCAATAAGTATCGGAGGGGGCTTTATCCAATTGTGTGGCCTTTTTCTCTCTCTCTTTGTCCATTTTGTATTCCCTGACTTGTCCTCATTGTGTTTGTGGTGGTGGGGGCTTCAGCTCTAGTAGGGAGCTACTCTCCCCCCCCCCCCCCCTCTTCTTCCCTTCTCCCCTATCTCTCTCTCTCTTTCTCTCTCTCTCTCTCTCTCTCTCTCTCTCTCTCTCTCTCTCTCTCTCTCTCTCTCTCTCTCGTACTCCCTCCCTCCCTTGCCTTTCCCCATATCATTTTCCCAAACAGACAATTTGTTGAATAAACTTGGTGGTTGTGTAGGTATTTATCATAATAATAGTAGGATGTCTGTAACAAAAATATTTCAGTCTTTACACAATTTAAATTTTTCACATTCAAATTTGATTGATTGTAATCCAAACAAATACATGTAAGATCATTCTCAAAGTTTTCACAACATTTGATAACAAATTTCAAAATAATAGTGTAACAGATAAGTTAGTGCAAAAGGCTAGGCTACTTTTCTCAAGTGGTGTCAAGAAATGGAAAGCTCACCTGCTCTATTTTGGCATCCAACATCTTGAAGAAATCAGACTGGCTTTTCGAAACATTCCTGAAGAAAAAAAAAAAGAGCACAATTTTGTTAGAATACTTTCTCTTCTAGCTGCATGAATATCCATAACGATATAAATATATTAATATTTTTTTCCCTGAGAGAAAAGGCACTTTTGTGGGAATTAATGATACGTTGGTGTAAAACAAAATGGGAAAAATGTCCACCATCCTGTTTCTCTTTATTTTTCTGCTTTTACACAGATCAACTTGTTACAAGGGGTTGGAAATAATGATAATAATAATGGTGGCTTCTTCTATAGCGCACATGTCTGTCAGGTTGTGACGCTCCTGGCGCTGCCCCAATTATTACCCTGGCTTTAGCAAGGCAGCTGCTGCAGCGCTCTAGCATTTCAAGAAATTAATTCCTGCCAGGTACCCATTTACATCACCTGGGTTGAGTGTGGCAAATGTAGATCAATGTCTTGCTAAAGGACATTAGTGCCGCGACGGGACTCGAACCGCGGACCTTAAGATCGACAGTTCGTCAACGTATCCACTCGACCACGACACCTCTAAAAATGCCTCATAACTGATTATGCCTAAATCTAACGCTACATTGTACATGCATGTAGGTAAAGGCCAAGTCCACTCCAAAAATAATTTGCTTTTAATAGATGCAGAAAAACAAGAGGAACAGAGCCAAAAAAAATGGAGTAAAATCGGATAACTAATAAAGAAGTTATGAATTTTTTCTAAAGTATGAAAAACTATGGAACTTAGAAAATCACTACACAAATTGCCAATTTGGTTATCAGTTTGTGACGTCATTGCCTCACTATTCATCAATTACTTTATATATTTTTGTTCCATTAATTTCCCTTTTTATATCCCCAAAACTTGATTTCCCCGTGCCTTTTACCAGGTTATATGATTTGTATCATATTGCGTGCATGACATTTCACAAAATCTTTTATGAACTTTGAAGAATTGATACTATTTTCTGAATATTGTATATTCATATTCATTGATTTTTATATAAACAGTTTATCAAAATTCAAATTTTTCATGATTTGACTGAAATAAATTACTCTATAGTGCATCCACTATCAATATAACTTGGAAAATAAGATTTTTTGAGGGGGGAATTGGAAATGTTATTATCAATATAAAACAATTAGTGGATAGTGAGGCAATGACATTACAGATTCATGAGTGATTTTCCAATTTGTTTATGTCATTACAAATTCATAACTTTCTTATTAGTTATCTGATTTTGCTCAAACTTTTTTTGATTTGTTTGTCAGATTTTTCTTATTCTCAGTATTGAAAGTAAGTTATTTTTGGTGTGGACTTGCCCTTTAATAATGTTTGGTCGTACTTCACATGTAGGTTCGTGTACTGTGTACTCAAAGCCTTCAGTGACTACATAAAACTTGTTAGGGCCTTTAATGCCTGTAAACACATGCCCCTATTGAAGTCCTAAGGGTATCCTTTGAGTACATGTATGTTTCACACCTTAAATTTTATCTGCTGCAATTCAATATAACGATTCCATTCAAACAATGCCAGGAATTGTAGTACCGGGTATATGCACACCAAACACAGAAGTTTCCAATGTTTATCCTTTGCTTATTGCAAGTAGGTTCCTGCATATAATGCAGTACATGTGTAGCTACAGAACAGATAAGATCAATTTCTTAGAATTAAAAATGGAATATTTCCACCAATCAATGGGTTACATTGCACAGCAGTCAATCAGTCATGTTATCATTTTATAACAAAACATGCCAAAAAGTTTGATTTTATTAGTTGTTATTTTTTTATTTATTTTTTATTTGAGGCATGTACATCATGTACATGTACATTGATCAATGGATATCCCCCAAAAAACACAAATCTAACCCCATGGATGTCCAAATACTACGACACATATTTTCTCTCAGAGGGAAACTACATATAAATTGACCACTACAAATGTAGAAGGGTAGTCTGTAAAAGAAAAGGTTGCCACAATTACAGTTTTAGCTGTACTTTGCAATGGTGAGTATGTGACAGTTGACTTCTTTCTTTTTTTAGGGAGGGGGGGGGGGGGGGGTAGGGGACACCTTGACTTGTAAAACATTAAAATAAACCCTAAGATCATCAACAAAATTGTTCAAATCATCATTTGAGAGTCAGGAGTTCATTATTTATCTCTTTTTTTAAGGATATATTTTTAAAGCTAAAGACCAGTTATGGTCATGCAATTGCATAGTGAAAAAAACGTTGTGAAATCGATCAGAAAAGGTTGATCATCTAGCATAGATGTACTGCAAGGTTCTGGAATCATCAAAATTATAAGAAATTTGGCCAAGTCTTCATTAAGTTAGAAGCACTGTACCCTCAACTCTGGAACAATTTACCTCAATGTAAACAAGCAGATTCAACAGACAAATTCAAATCCATGTTAAAAACCTACTTTTTTGTTAAATAGCCTTTTTCATTTGCATATGCAGCCCCCTCGATTGTCCACTATCTATTATGTATAACTTAATATTTGGCTGTAATTCCTTCTATTTCTATTTTTCTTAAGCGCTTAGAGACATATTTTGTGATAAGCGCTATACAAATGTTGTTAATTTTTAATTATTATTAAAGATGTATATGAGACTACACACACGTGCGCGACACGTGCATTTGTATCTCTCAACAGTATATAGATATACTAATTTACCAAATATATCAATTAGTAGGCGGTTTCCCATCAAAATTTTTATCGTCATCATGTAATATTCAAAACACATTCTTTCACATGATCGGTAATAAGAGCTTCCATTTCATTTTTTGAAATTGGGGCGTTTCCAATACTGGTCTTTACCTTTAAAACCCTTCTAGCTATCGACAGATGATATCCAATTTGCAAAACAATACACCAAAGAAACCCCATTAATTTCTCATCATATTTGCAATCAATCAGTTGTTTTTAAAGAGTATGAAGCCATTCAACATTCAGTCATTCATTGTCTTGCATCACTCATCCCACTCATAAAGAAATCTAGATCGGGTCGAAAACCTCTCATCTTTGCCTCTAATCCTCTGGTTGCCATGGGCAACAACTGCAATCAACTTTTGAAAAATAGATCCACTTCCTATGCTAATGACATTTATTAGGTCAATGGCTCAATGCTCAATTTCCATGGAGTTCTATTTTAGTGTTAGCGCCTTGTCTATACACTTGTACAATAAATAGTAAATCTACAATAAATCATGTGGTGTGGTATCAATGTCCAGAAGAGAGGCAGATTAATGGAGCTTATTAACGTACATAAAGCTTACAGTGATATGTTTGTATCTATTAGTGAGTTGTGCATACATTTGTAAAAGAAATTGTGCATCTGCTATAAATCATATGGTATAGAGGTCATAAATTGGAGTGACATCAATTTCCATATGCCGAAAGGCAGATTAATTTGAATTTAAAAAAGACTACTCATGAATTAAAATATCATCTAGTTAATGCTAGAAGGTCATTCACTTGAGATATTACATAAACATGTATATATATGCCCTTCTGTCTTACAACCCATAATTTATTATGCTCCACAATCATGTAGCATAACTACATTGTTTATAATAAAAGCACTTTTATCAGTTACCTGGGACTCAAAAAGAATGCTTTCCACAATGCATTCATTGATGTTAACTCAATCTCATTTAATGTTTTAACTTAAACTTGAAGTTTGATTTGATTGTGTGTGGAATATGGAAGATACTAAATTGAAACTGAAAATCTGATAACAAAGCTCAAACAGAACATATTCCCTGTTCAGAGAACTGAGCAGTTCCTCTAAGTTTCCTTGCAAACAAACCTTCTCCAAGAAAAGACAGATTGCTTTAATTTCCTCTCATCCATTTGTGGACATAAATTCTCTCTTTCCTCATTGTTTTCTACATGTACATTTGTATCTTACTTATTAAAAGCAAACATGTAACATAATCCCAGCAATGTGTGCATACAGAAAGGCAGCAGGTTTAACATGTAGTGTAACAAGACCTAGCAACAGTAAACATTGCATGCACAGCAGTTGTTTGTATGGTGTTGATGAACTCTTGAGGTAGTATTGGGTCACTTGAAGATAAAGTGCTTTATAGCATGGGCAGTACAGTGTAGGTCCATGTTTATAGCAAGGATGCAATTCTCGTGAATGAGTAAATCATGAATTCAAAATATAGATAAATGTTAACTCTGTTTAGCAAAGTGTACATGAATTTGTGTGAAGTATAAAATAATAATAGCTGCAAAAGGGGAAGAATTTATATCATATTAATCTGAGTAAATGCCCTTCAGGATCTCAAAAAAATATGTGGAATATGAAGCCTTGCCACACACACGACCAAAAATATTTTAAAAAGACAAATAAACGTCCATGTTGCTGAACATGTACAAAAGCAGGTATCGGTAAATATTAAATTGATAATACTGTGTAAGAGTGTAATCGGTACTTACTTATTGTTATTGCATATGGGGCCCGATAACGGCATATCTTTGTGTTTCTTCATACTTGAATAGTCAACCTGTAATTTAAAAAATATATTTGGTATAAAAATATATAGCTGTATACATTTAATAAACAAAATTATTGTGTATTTCCATCATTTCTACTTTTTGTCTGTATTGTACAGATTGCATGAACATATATACATTGATTTTTTTCCTCTCTTTCTCTCTCTCTCTCTTCTCTTTTCTGTCTCTCTCTTTTTTCTCTCTCTCTCTCTTTTTCTGTCTGTCTGTCTCTCTCTCTCTCTCTCTTTTATCTCTCTCTCTCTTTCGCTCTTTCTCTCTTTTCTCTCTCTTTTTTGTTACCTCTCTCACATTCTATCTCTCTCTCTTTCCCTTTCTCTCTCTCTCTCTCTCTATATGATACTCACTAGACTTGTTCCTTGATTATGTTCCTGCTTATCCTCTCCATTTCCTAGACCATTGACAAATTTCCCTGTATCTCTTCTCTCTAGATTTATCTTGTTTGGCAGCTCAGAATTATTTCCATTACCTGCAAAACAAAACAAATATGAAAGAAAAAAAAAAACGTCATCACTCCAAGAACTATTAGCTCATTCCCCATAGTTGGATAGGTCTAAACCGGGTACCCGCCTGAAGCATACATACATGTACATGTAGCAGGCAGTAGGATATATGGCTACACCTTTTTCTGGGCGCTTTGAGTCTGAATTCATAAAAACACAAAAATGGACACAATTTGAATTTGTATTGCACTGAGATGTTTAGGTCGAATTATTCCTCGATATAGTTGAAATGTAATAACATGTCATCACATTTTTGTTAATTGTACAAAAATATTACTTATCGACCTGAAAAAATGAAGAAGAAAGCTCATAATCTTCCCTACTGTGCAAAATTGACGAATGATTGAAATACTAATCGAGCTACTGTAGGTAGAAGAGACAGTACTTTGATTTTGTCGAGACAACAAAATAGAAATGAAATAAATGACATGTTACTGGCAGCCTGCCATCAGCGTGCCATAGCCCTTGAATTATTTCCATTTATATTCTGTTTCGGCGATATCATAGTGGGTTAGTGATAAAGATTATTTTACTGTACATACTTCAAGACAAAATAGCCCATATTTCAAACAAGCAACAAAAGGTGCTAAGTTTGACAAAAAAATATAAACGAGTTTTCAAATAGGCAGAGTTCCACCATTTTTTTTAAAACAAGCAACAACAACAAAAGTTAAGAACCTCTAGCAAAAACATTGAATCTGAGGTCAAGTACAAACCAATGGCATGTGTATTTCATATTGAACCTACCTTTTGAGTGCAAAGACTTGCCGTTTTCTTTGACCCTGAGTTCCGTGGTCGACGATGTCGAGGGTATCCTATCCAGTGGAGGATTTTTCCCTGCCGAACATCCCATGGTGACAGTCTCAACCACTTCAAATTTTTATCACAAAAAGTGTTTTCAGGTTCCCAAAATATAAGACACAATATTGGGTTCATGCAAATGAAGATAACCTTTCAGAGTTGTTAAGTTGCATCTGTTTACTCCATTTTTAGTTTCCTTTTGCCACCACACGAGAAGAAGGAACGCCTCCATATCACATGATCATTCTGGATGCACATCTCCATGTCACATGATCATTCTAGATGCACATCTCTCGGCGTCTCTCTCTTCCTTGGTCTATCCACATCGATTTTTCATGATCATGGTACTTCAAAGAAGACACCTGGAAGTGAGAAAGCTGTTCGTCAAACGGGAAATCGCTTAGAAAAAATGTTCACTTTCTGGTAACCACAACACCATAAATAATTCCAATGTAGCGTTGATGTTTCACAATCTCGGTAATTCAAATGAATCGTCTGGAAGCACAAAAGCTCTGCGATAGATCAAAAATCTTGAGGAGAAATTTATTCTCCTTCTGGCTACGACGATACCATTAATAATGCAAACGTGGTTGTTCTGTTGACGTCTGAAAAGCAACCTGCTCTACTCGACTCTCATCAATTCAATAATTGAAGTTGATTTCTTTCTTATAGCAGACTTGGCAAACATCAACCATGCACACATCTACGGTGTAGGATGAAAAATCTAATCATTCCAATGGGGGTCGTCTACCATGATTAAGCCAAGGATACATGAAAATGATGACCAATAATTGTATGGGAATAGAAAGAAAGGTTATTTTGTAATATCTTCTACGATATTCCTTATTAGATTAAAGATGATTAAAATGAGTTTAATTTAATAAGCAATTGCTGTCTTTGAAATTACCCTTGACTTTTGTCTTTTCACAGAGAAATGGATGAAATTATCTGTTCTATTTCTTTTTAGAGAATGCCTCAGCCCAAACAATTCAGCCTTGAAAGGTTTCTCCCAGTTCATAGTCACATTTCAAAACTCCAATTCCCCTGAATACAATTTGTTGCAGAACAATGTTGGTCTTCACAGCATCAAATTCAACATCATCATTGGCAACTTGCAATGTGAATTCCTGAGAAAGTGTTCTCCAATCCGTCACTGAAATGCCTTTTTCAGTTTTAAGGCTGTGTGATCTACTTCTCCAACGAGTAACTCATCTTTACATGGAAGCTATGCTGCATTTACATCGCCCTCAATTTTTCCATTTAATAAGCGATTTAGCAAGCGAAGGATTCCATTCAAGATGATCTTCGAAGCCGTCGGGGGAATCCCCATCCTCCAATTAAAAGCGTGGTAGCATCTGCAAAACAAAGAAAAAAAGAAAGTTCTTTTATTTGTATGACACATGTTCCTGCAACAATAGCTACAGTACATGTACATGTTATTTCCTATTCAACCTTGGATGGACCACTGTACCAAACCCAAACTCTTAAAGGGATCCTGTAACTATGAATTGTCTCAGATTCTGAAACAAAATCCTGGATTTTATAGCTCATGCTGCAATAATAATTACAAACCTTCAGGTCAGTCAGAAACCCCATGACTTTTACAAGCCGATCGCCTGTCTGATCATCTTATCTTCTTTAGTCATCATCTCCCCCCCCCCCCCCCCCCCCGGGCCTTTGTCACTTACTTGTTTGTCTCTTTATATTCCTTTGCATTTTATACTGTACATTATTTTGTCTTTGCATGTTTTTTTTAACTGGAATCTGGAAAAATAAATTAAATTTAAATTAAATTAAATAATAACCAAATCTGAGATACATATTGATAACATTTAACATTGCCTGTACAGAGCCAGAAGGCTGTACAGGAATTTAAACACTCAAAAACTCAGAAACACAGAGTTACTGCCCTTCTGGCTTTCAACAGATCATACATGGAGATTTACATGTCAGTAGAAGCCAATACAAAATATGAATGCCTGAAACAACAAACAGAAGATAGCTCAATGAGTTAAAAATCAGAATACAATTATTTGGGAGAAAAATTAGGTCTGTCAATAAAAGACTAAATAGAGTGCAAACTCCACAGTCACCTACATGTAAAATGTGCCTTGATTGACACATGTTACAAACAAAGTGATGTTCATGGCAGGGGGAAAAATACTTCAAAAATTTTGAGGGCTATTTTTCAAGCTTGCTTGCATGAAAATAACACTCTTTAATTTGTTTTGCATTGAACTCTATGCAAATTTTGGGGAGCTCTTTTATAACTTTCAGGGGCTCTTTTGGGCATTTCAGGGGCTAATTCGCCCCGAGCCCCCATGAATTTTTTACCCTGGTTCATGGGTTTCAATCATTAGCATGTAAGGAGTTAAATTCCTGATTCGGCCGATCGATAAACTGATATATACCTATAGGTCCCCTTCAATGATAAAGCCAGAATTTAAAAGCCTTCACCTTCCAAAACTGCAATTACTGGAGAGGCATATTCCAGAGAAAACTTCCGCCGACGTATAAAGGCCAATCGATAAACTGACATGACCACATCTCTGATGAACACGTTCCTACAGTAGCAGCCAATATACTCAGGTGCAAGAACAGTGAGCTGCCAGCATTAAGGCTGTTACACCCATTGGAGTGACAGCCTTATTGCAGGCAATGGATGCTGGCTATTCATAATTGTAAAGGTGTTTGAACACTTTGCTTTGTAATCTAGCAAAAACACTCGCGCCTGTGCTTGCGATATTTGCTGAATGATTTTTGCAAATACAATTATGCTTTATGAAATATGAAGCAAGTACATCATGATGCAATAATGTGTAGGTATGTTTGTACACACATGCACAGCAGTCATTTATGATAATCTGCTTCCTAAGAAAACTTCTAACAATTGTTTTGAGTAAAATAACAATACTGTCTATTTGGTTAGGTTTTCTTACCTATCTGTAATATCTAGGCCTACATGAAAATAATGTAGTGGTCTGCTCAAAACAGAACTAAGTTGCCCCCCAAAACAAAGTTTTTAGTTTGTTTTGTTTGTGTACCTAAATATTGATTCAAGCATTCTAAATATGCATGTACCAGTGTTTTTGTCCAGTTCTGTTGTACTATTAGAACTTTATCAACAAAATCTTTACACAGGAATCAGCATATTCCTCTGTTAAATGCAGTCGCCTGAATTGCAACTTATAGTTTGAGCCTCCGGATCGCAAACAAAAGCACACAAGTTTTGGCTTTGGCAACTATGTACATAGTTACAATTCCAAATTGTAAAATCACACAATTATTTGGTTAAAAGAATATGACAAAAATTGTTTATGCAGTCATCATCAATCTATATTTATGAAAGACAGCTGACCAGTATGGCCTACCGGAAGGTGTAATTCCCTTGGTTTATGACCAGCGTCAACGTGACGATATCAAACACAATGGCCCAACTGAAGGTGTGATACCAATGGTTACGGCCAACACTACAGAGTCAAAGCCCAACTGAAGACCAGTGCAATATCATTTGTCATGATCAGCCCTGCACAAGCTAGTACGCAGGGGATGCTAATGACACCCTCACAGATCGATAGAGCATAAAAAGAAACTTGTATTAAAGCGAGCTGCTTAGTGAGTCACATGGATAAAACCTAGCAACCATTCTCTTTAAAGTCAACATTTCCTTCCAATGGTGGATAGGGAACCAATTTGTGATCCCGTTAAATGTTGAAACAACTGATTGATTGTAAAGATTAACACCTTACATACCACTCAAATTTTACCCCACAAAAATGTAGTCTATTCATAAATTGTCTTTTTTCATTTTTTTAGGCAGAAACATTAGAACATGTAAACCACACAAGAAAGACAAAGAGATTTCTTTAAGAGAAGGGGGTCTTTGCTAATATATTTGTTTAATTGTTGAAACAACTGATTGTTTGGAAAGATTAACACCTTACTAGCACTCAAATTTTACACTGCAAATGTGTAGTTTTGTCAGTCTTTTTCATTTGTTACGCAGAAACAGTAGAACCTGTGTATAAAGACCACCCAAGAGAAACAAAGAGACATCTCGTAAAGAGAAGGGGGTCTTTTTGCTAATATATTCGGTTAATTGTTGAAACAACTGATTGTTTGTAAAGATTAAGACCTGGTATAGCTCTCAAATTTTACACAGCAAAAATGTAGTTCAGTCACAGTCTTTTCATTTGTTAAGCAGAAGCAGTAGAATCTATCTGTGTATAAAGACCACCCAGGAGAAACAAAGAGATATCTTTAAGAGAATGTGGTCTTTACTAATATATTTAGTTTATTGTTGAAACAAATCGTCCTTGTTTTCACGAAGTGACGGTAGCGAGGAAAATCGTAACGCAAAGTGAATGCAATTTTTTTTCACTACCGTCACTTCGTGAAAACAGCGACGAAATGATTGCTTGTAGAGATTTAACACCTCTCATCAGCGCTTGAATCTGCACCACCTACGAAGATACATACAGTACAACTAAAACTTTATTCATTGCTTGATTAAAAAAGTGTGAAATCAAATTTCATGTTTTCTAATTCTGCATCATTTTCATTTTCATTTTTAACATTGAAGATGAAATTCACTACCCTTTTTACATGTTATCAAAGCTCACCTTTTTTTTAACATTATTTCAGCTAAATTATGATATTTAAAAACTCTCACTCAGGCACATACCAAATAAAGATCAAAGATTTTTTTATTTTGTAAAGATATAGGCCTACCGTTACGGTAGTATAAAGACCATCCTCAGGGATATATAGGGGGGAAGCCATCTTTATGAGAAGGCAGTCTTGGGGACCAATTTAAAATCAGGTAAAAGACCCTTTCCGATGAATTTACAACTTTATATCAATGGAATACAAAATATTTTCCCTATCAGTATTGCCCATTTACAAATTATAACCTCAATTTCCTCACCCTCCAAATTACGGGTTAACAGGGGTAAAATTTGCTGCAGGTACAGTGACGATATAACATGTGAAACTGATCAGCTCAGCTTTATAGCTGAGGCAATGAGCTGTGCTTAATTAATGTCAAGTCATTGTGAATATATGCGTACTCCACAAAAGATGACACCAAGTCCATAGCTAGTTTTTTGGTTGACAACTTCCATTTTTTCAAAGCTTTTAATTTCAAGTTTTCAGAGAGCTGTTACTCTCTGACTGACATTAAAATAGCACATAATTGATATTAATGTAATCTGTAAGCTTTCCATTGATGGGCAGGTCCAAGCTATTTGGATTGTGACGTACGGGACATTCAGAGACTTTAAACAAGAAATAACAATGGATGAAATTATTTATATGGCAAACTTTTGGTATGAGTCTGTGGCTATTATGGGCTAGTTCATTTGTGGAAAGTTTTAGTTCTGACCAATTCATAAATTAATTTTTAATGTAATTAATGTGCTGCGTGACGTACGGGACCAGAGAATTTCTGACTTTTTCAAAAATAAGTTCGTCGTAAAAATTCTCTGAATTTATTAAGTTATGAGATTTATGGTAATGATATCTTTATTCATTATGGAATCAAGCATTAATCACAACTATAACCATATTTTTCTGACCTTCCGTTGTTATGTAATATACCAAAACATAAATGTGTGTATGTGACGTACGGGACACGTGACGTACGGGACAACTTTTCCCTATGGGAAAATGCATTGAAATGAAGAATTTTCGTCAAAATTTGTTAAATATGAACAATTTTAACTTAAATCAGTGACAATTAGAGTGTTTTAGAACCCAATTAGATCCTCTGACCATCACTCAATATCCTCTGTGTTAATTTATGAGGTAAATCAATACAAATATTACTTTAATAAAGAAAACAAATTAAATTACATTCATACACACACACTATATCACCATTTTTATTCCATTTACCCATCTATCATGTGCAGTCATGCTTCTTTTCTCATTTCTTTCATCCATTCCATTCAACAGTGCTACCATTCCATTCAACAGTGCTACATGTACATGTAAATGTTTTAAAATAATAATTAATGAAGAAGATGAACTTGAACCTGAAAAATTTCATTAAAACTTGTTCGAAACACGGGGGCACACTCGGCACATCATATTTTGTGAACAAAGATACAGTACATTACAAATATGAAATCTTTTCTTCATAGCTTGTTTGAATTACTTGATAGTAATATCATAGAATTTTGAAGGAATTCAAAGATAACGCTGAACATATTGTCTTATTTTAATCTTTTTATCACAGATTAGAACATGTACATGTATATGTTGCTGTCATATATTCAAGAATTGTAATGTATCGGTACAGTAATGTACATGTTTGTGAAAGATGGATACAAAAATATAAATCTTGAATGTATTT